CAGCGGTTGGGGTGGTTGCTGGACATTCGGTGGTTGGGTGGTTGGTCGGCGGTTGCTGGTCCGTTGGTTAGTGGCTTAGCATAAAGCTGGAAAAATGACCAGCTCCCTGGATGGACTGGCCGCCAACAATGGACCTGACTCAGCTGTCGTTGTTGGACAATTGGCTGGAAAATAGCTAAGGGTCTTGAAGTCTCATCATGGGTTAGAAAGGATTTTTTTTTACGTTTTTATAAACATAACTTACGTGATTGCTTTTCCTTTTTAATTGACATAAAAAGAAGATGAATTACTTCTTTAAAAATTCTTTGATACTCACTCCCCATACCTCTCTATAGCTTAATATTTATGTTAAAAAGTTTGCCTGAAGTCAAGAGTTGACTTGAAGCTTTGACATTTATTCCTTTCCAGAGACAGTCTCCTTTATTATCCTTTGAAATATTAAGCTCACATTGAAAGATTTTCTAAAGATAGAACATGTTTTTTTATAGTTTTTAGCTTCTATTTAATCCTGAGTGACATGCAGAGGAATTAGTTCCACGGAGTTTACGAGTCAATTCCATTGCTTCTTAAAAACTTTCATCAATATTTACTAGTCGTACTCGTACCTTTTGAATTTTCTTCTTACCAAAAAGCTCAAGATTTTGTTTGCAAACTTAGTTTCATGTCAAAGATTTGTGCTAACTTTATGGAGAACTTAGCCGCTTGAATTATTCAAAAGCCAGTCCTGCACTCAGGTTCTTAGTTAAAAAAAAAAAAAGAGGAAAGGAAAAAAATAGTGCAAAGTGAGAGTGAAATCTAGTTGTTTGGGACTAATAAAAGTTGTCGTTGCTTTTGGCTATGAACGAGGATTTTTTCCTATTTTTCGCTCCTGTTACGGTTGTCCAGTTTCCGGCAGAGTTCAGAACTGATGCGGCTGCTGGCTCAGCAGCAAACAAATGGAGCTCGGGGCAACATTCAACGTGGTGGCACGGGATGGGGTTATTACTGATTGTTTAGGACAGGACCTCTAGCAGGCACACAGAGCAAACAACAGGCATCTGCATATAAACGGGAGGCGAACCGGGAACCAGGGCAAAACTTTAACAAGCACTTAAGTATTAATCATGGAAATCAGAGGCAGCTGTGGGCCACCTCCTCCTCCTCCTCCTTCTCCTCCATTGTGGCTGTGTGTGGTTAGTGTGTGTGTGTGTGAGTGTGGGCCAAAAAGTTTGCCACGTTGGCTATCAATGTCACTGAAACGGAGCGCCTAATGAGGCATTAAACTTAACTGCTCAACTTTGCGCCTGTCAAGCGCTTATTAAATTTACCGTTTTATTGGTCCAACAACTTGGTGTTAAATATGAACCACCCACCCCATACCACCCCCCCGTCTGCTGTCCCATCCGTAGTGGTCAGTAGGCGTGGCCATAGCCAGAAGGGCAGGAGCGGGTGTGGTGTTCTTTAAGTGAAATCAGATTACGTTGTTTATCGTTCAGTGCCGACTTGGTTTTTAGCTAACCAGGCGTGTGTCCTTCTCTGGATTTCCCCCATTTCCATTTCTAGAGGCAGAAATTCCACTCCTTCGTCCATCTTCTTCCGCCGCATCTGCCGCATTTAAATAGTTGCCAAGTTCAGCAAATTTTATTCGATGTAGTTAATTTTGTTTCTCGGCAGAAAAAGGAAATTGTATTACCCATTTATTTAGTCAAATTCCATTGCGGCTATGCCGATGTGGGTTTAGTAGGCGTGGCTGTCTTCTCGGGTGTTTCTAACTCGCATTAATAGTAGTAGTAGTTGGAAGTTCTGGCGTAATTGGATTGCAAACTTCTGCCAAAACGAGCAAATACAATAAATAGCAGACGGACAAGTAGGGAATGGGATTTGTTTCTGGTTGGAGGCGTCTATATTTTGAAGAAGAAGCCTTAAAGGGGTCGGTCAATGGAGCTAGAGGGAAATCATAGTATGTTGTTCTCTGACTTCATCAGATTCTGGATACATTTTATGGGTCTTGAAGGGTTCTTGATAAAATATTGATGAAGAGAGACTTAACTTATATAAAACTAAGAAAGAAATGTTTAAAAATCCATTTTTAATCTCATAAAGTGCCAACCCCACTCCTTATATATCCGAAATATCTTTTCGCTATCCCGGAATAACACTTCATTTGCCCATTTCAAGGATTTCCAACAATCCTTTTGCCCCAAAAACAAAAAGTAAACCATTCCGAGCAACCCAAGCGAATAGGTTTACTTATCCCCCATTCGATACGGTAAGAAATTGAATGAAATCGGTTCCCATGTTTACTGCGGGATCAAAAGACCATCTGAAGGATGCTCGACAGAGATATTTCCATTTCCCAATCGCAAATCAAGGCGCACTAAATTTGATATCCGAACCTACCCGGAAAATGATTCGTTTCGAATCCAACACGTCGAAATTATTGAATTGATGTTTCCCGATAAGCCCAAACTCGATTACCACCTGTCAATCCCCAAACACTTTCTACCCCCAAACCAACCCCCACCATGAATCCACCCAATCATTCTCATATTCTTGTTTACACAGCTAACTGAGTATTTTTGGGGGATTCCCCCCTAGCATGCTGCGCGATGTATTCCCAAGTATTATGAAATATTTATGCACACGCCATTGCGGATATTCACTCAAAAGTGGTGAGTGTATGAGGAGTATGTGTGACGGAAAGCTCTCGAAATAGTGCAGTTCACTGGGAAAGCGGAAAATCAACTGAAAGAGAGAAGGAGAAAGAGAGAGTGAGGTGTACAATATTTTCCATGTAGCATCCACAAAAAGAGCGTGATATCATTTCAAAGAGAGAGAGAGAGAGAGGAGCTGCTCAGTTGAGTTTTGCGGTCGATGTCAGCAGCAAAATGTCTGTGGCGGAAATGAAACGTGCTTTCTGTCTAAGTGTGTGTATTTGTGTGGGTGTGGGGGCTTAGATATGTGGGTGGTGGCTGAGGTGTAGGTGTTCGTTTGTATGTGTCTGTGTGGGTCTGCTACGTGCCCGTGTTTGTGGCATTGAGTAATCATCAGCGTTGAAAATTGCGTTTTTTATGGGGCCAGTGCCAGTGCCAGTGGATTGGGGATGAATGGTGCTAGGGGATGAACCCGAGATGGGGGTAGTTCGAGAGGGGAAAGGTGTCGTGGGGGGCCAGTGGGCAAAAGTGCTGGCAGTGCGTTAGCTTAGCTGTACTTAGCATATATGTAAATGTACACTCGCATAACGATGCTAAATATTAACTTGGGAGTTTTCTCAAGCTCTGGGCTTAGTCGTTAATAATCTTTAAATAAAAAGGAGTTAACCTCCTTGAAGTTAAGTTTTAAGGATTTTATTTAAATTATGTAGATCAAAAAGAATATTTTATAAGATTTTATCCTTTTATAGTTAAGAATTTACCCAGACTACAAGTCTCTTGGTGTAGTAAAGTCAAAAAGTAAATAATATGATTATAGCAGAGTATAACTTTATTTTTGTGAATCTCATATATTTGTTAGCCTACAAAATTAATACCCATACATTATAACTTAACTTTTTCAAACCTACATATGTTTCTTCAAGATGTATTCTCCAGATACTTCCCTAAATGTTAAACGTCTAATTTTATAGACCTCTTTTTAATGCTCCTTCCTCCTGCTGAAAAACCAATCTTAAATTGAGATTTTACCATCAAGATTCCAACTTTTATTACCCACATCTTACTCTAAGCATGTTGCATTCTGCATCCTGAGATTTATATATATTGACATATATATACTTATTTTGATCAGTGTAAATTTGTATACCGAGCATCCTTTTTCCCCTGTGCGTGCGTGCCCCCGCTGTGCGTCTGTGTGCGTGTGAGTGGCACAAGTGTCACGGCATGGCATCGCAGTAAAATCCTTTTTTATGGCCTAGCCCAATGCCTCAGCTTCAGCTTTAGCTTCAGGTCCTGGCCCGCTCCTCCTTTCCTTGCTTTTTTTCCAGACATTCCTACGCCCAGGATATTGTTGCCCCCGGTCTTCGGATGAAAGGGCAAGGGCAGGAAAAATTAATTTCGCAACATATTCAAAGTGTTATTAAACATAATTTATTAAAACCGAAATTGTATAAAGTCAGGCTGAATATATATAGTATATGTGGTGGCTGCGAGGAGGAGGCGGGAGTCGGGAGGAGTTGCCATAAATTGTTGAGATTTTTGTCGTTGCTCGGTTATCCCAATGGTTATCCATGGGGTCACGGGGTCATGTGCGTGCCCTCGTTTGTGGCTGTCGCCGCTTTTAACGGCTTTTCGGAAATGGGCGTTTCATCCTCGATGCCATGTGTTTTTTATCCAGCTTGTTTGTGTTGTGTTGTGTTGTTTTTTCTTTCAGATATATATATATATATATATACATTTTTTGCCCCAAACTGTGGCTGTGCAACAAATGTCGCACAGTTAATGTTGTAAACAAGTTGTGCTGTTGTGCGGTTGAGAGACCCCAGCATTTTTGGGCGTTATGATGTATGTGGCAGGCGTGGCAAATCGGAAATTTAATTTCCCAGCCAAACGAGCACCCGGCCGGGCGGGCATTGCCACGCCGGAGCTCATAACGGCCAGCTTAATTGCCGGCCATAATTTAGGCTAACCCTAAACCGAAACCTGCAACCTACCAAGGAGCGGGGTTTTCTAATATCTAGCATGTGTTTAAATCAAAATTATTTCCCTTTTCAACCCATTTACTTCCGGTTGAAAGAAGTGTGGACATTCCTGAGTGCAATTTTCATGCAAAGTGTTATTGGAGTTTTCTTAGTCTTCATGATATTATAAATTATGTCGAAATGGGGATTTTCGTCATTAATATGTCACAGAAACTGACCCATTAAAACTTTAATAGGGGTTTAAATTAATAAATAATAATCACATATTAAATAGAGAATAAGAACTACAGTCTTTAGGAGGTTATTATAGGTCTAACCCTGGAGTCAAATATTTTCTAACCCCCAAATCTCCTTTTAACTCCTTACCTATGCTTACCTTTTCCAGGCTCTGCTCCATAGCCACGATGTGGTGGCCCGGGATGTCTACGGTGAGGAGGCGCTGCGCGTCACCCCGCCACCGATGGTGCCCTACCTCAATGGCGACGAGCTGGACAACGTCGAGGGCAGCGAACTGCAGCATGTGACCCGGGTGCGACTAGTGCAGTTCCAAAAGAACACGGACGAGCCCATGGTAAGCTAACTGTGCCTCTAGTCTCAAGGGAGGATTGGGGTAACACTGTACTGACCAACTGTGTAATCCCTTTACAGGGCATCACGCTGAAGATGACCGAGGACGGGCGGTGCATTGTGGCCAGGATTATGCACGGCGGGATGATTCATCGCCAGGCCACGCTGCACGTGGGCGACGAGATACGGGAGATCAACGGCCAGCCGGTGCAGCATCAGTCGGTTGGCCAATTGCAACGAATGCTGGTGAGCCCGCCAATCAATCTTCCATCTCTCCATCTCCTCTTTGCCTTTTACCCCTTATAACGAATCCTGTTCCTGACTTTGTCCACCTGCTAATTGAATGTGTCCGATCTTAATCCCTCTCTTGCAGCGCGAGGCACGCGGTTCTGTTACCTTCAAGATAGTTCCTTCGTACCGCAGCGCTCCGCCCCCCTGCGAGGTAAGTTAACTGGCCGGGACATGGCCTACTCTTGGTGTACATAGCTAGTTTGGTTTAAGGCTAACTAATCACCATATATACTAATCTTACACTAAACCATAAAATAAACTTGGTTAGTCCTTCTCATTTCGTTAGAGTTGTGGCGTTTTAATCGCTCTTTTTATTGGTGTTTTAATTTAAACATAATCCTCAGCTCAGGTTAAACACTTAGGAGGCAGTTAAGATTTATATTAAAATATAATAAATGAGGGAACATATTAAAGGACTTTAAAATAAGTTAAACTGACTAGTAAGTTTCTTTCCTTTTTTCAAGGAAACAACTCTTATTAGCTCTCCATCTGAGCTTATTTCATCGATTATGTAAGATGTACTTGCCTAATCACTTATTAGTTTCACATAATTATATAATTAGCTTGCTTAATTCTTTGTGAATAGCTTTCTCGACTTCTTACCATACCCAAATGCCTTGGCATTAAGTTATTAAGTTCGATGAAGTGGAATGCTTATATTGTTTGTCAATTTGGCGAAATCAAAATATCAATAGGGATTAATTAGAGGATTGAATTGGGTGCCCCCCGTCTACTGTACCAACCCGAAATGGGGCAACGAAAATGCAACTCGGTGCATTATGCATATTATAAAGTAAACGAGGCTTCGTCGGTGGGCGTAATGGGAAAAATAGGTTCATGTAATATTTATGGGCGTTGTAATATGTATGTATGTATGGGGAGTATCCTGAACAATCCACACATCCGTGATGCGTTTGTAGTTGTAGCCATAATCCATTATGCAATTATTTCGCAGTGCATTAACATAACTCCACACTCTCTCTCTCTCTCTCAATTTGTTTCGTACCCCCTCTTGTTTTCCCCCCTCTTTCACTCATGCCCACCATGCAGCTTTTCAGGATCAGACCCGCTCCGGTGCTTGTAAGTATCACGCTACCCACAATAGACACGTAATCACGCACCACACACACTCACACCCACAGCCATATCCACAACATAACAACACCCACTCGAGATTACTTTTACTCGAAAACACCCACCCATCCGCCCATCCGCCCATCCAGGCATTCCGGTAGATATGTATGTGCATATTCATTAACCCGCAGACAAGTCAAAAGGCACAACTCACACAAGAGCCGTAAATTTGTCTAATTTATGTTCATCACTTAGTCAACAGCAACAACGATACATCCAACGTCAAGCAGGTCTATGATGCCCTATTTTCCGGGGCATACATATATTGTAATTATGAACCAAAGTTTTCTGCCAAAACAGTTGCCACATGACAACATTTTAATTTGCGGAGAAAGTTATATATATATATATATTTGCTTTTTGTTTCAAATCAAATATTTCTGTAAACCAACGACTAACAAATAATGTTTGTTATGGATAAACTGAATTAGAAAATGAATTTAGTTTTGGTTTTGTTAAGGGAAGTGGATTACCACCCTTCACATAAATGATAAACTAAAATGTAAACTAAATTGTTAACTTAACTCTATATCTTCAGAGAACTGATTATTTATTTAGAGTTTTCCAATTATAATTTCAAATTCGCAAGAGCATTTCAAATTTGAAACCTTCTGTTTGGCAACGTTGTTTACTAGTGTCTTTGTTGCTACCGATTTTGTTGCTGTGGCTGCCTGCTTTTGACATGCAAATGAGTTTTGCATGTAATTCGAAAACTGAAACCCATTTCGCTGAGGCAGCCGCAACTCAGTTGCAGCCAGAGCCAAAAGTAGCTGAGATGGCAGAAAATACGGAAAATGTAGAAAATGTAGAAAAGTCGAAATGGGAAAAGGAAAATCGTATCATCATCGACCTGCTTGCTGTAGCTAGCAACTATTTGCAACGCGACTCTAGTGCTCATCTGGTCTACCATATCTTGTGTCTCTCTTTCTCCACACGCAGATATTCGTGCGCGCCCAATTCGATTATAATCCGCTGGATGATGAGCTTATACCCTGCGCCCAGGCGGGCATATCATTCCAAGTGGGCGACATACTGCAGGTAGGTTAACTAACCACAAGATAAATCTGATAAAAATCCATGTCATTACCATGAATGTACTTACAGATCATTAGCAAGGACGATCATCACTGGTGGCAGGCGCGACTGGATACGGTGGGCGGATCGGCAGGACTGATACCGTCGCCGGAGCTGCAGGAATGGCGAATCGCCTGCCAGACGGTCGACAAGACCAAGCAGGAGCAGGGTGAGTGACCGGGTTGGTCCTGGCCAGCGGCAAGGCGTCTCGAACCCAACTATCCGTGTTCTCTATGTGTAATTGGATGCTCGATATAATCAATCAATCGTATGCTATATGAATAATTGTACTTATATTGGAAGTGTATGATGAAATCGTAGTTAATCGAAAGGGAAAGCGCTCTCTCTCTATATATGTCTCTCTCTCACACACATATAAAACCAGAAACACACTTGTACCACCCACAAACACACAGCCACATCTGTACACTAACACTTACAGAGAGTTGCATGCCCCAAAAAAAACGAAAGTCAAAAAAGTAGCCAAAGGAAAGAAAACCTTTTTTAAATTTACTAACCAAAATAAGGGGGGAAGCCCCTAAGCTGCCAAATTTCAAGCTGACCAAAAGCAAAGACCCAAAGACACCACCTACATATGCACACCTGTACAAAACTCTAATACCTAGTTAACCTAGCTAACCATGAATCTCGCATCTCGAAACCAAACCAAAGAATTGCTATAAACTATGTATGTATGATAATATAATGCAGGAGAACCGGGTGCTGGATGTTCCGCTCACGCAGATGGGTGTGATGGATCAGCAGGTAGTTACCATATAACCAAAAACCACCAACCACACCCCACACACTCAATACCACTAAAAACGAATCTCCAACTTTGGGAGAGCTGCTCAGACTCGTCTTTTAACGTTTCTTCTTGAGTTCTGTTATGCCCACCAAAAAAAAAATATGAAACAAACAAACAACACAAACAACTTACTCTTACTGTACAACAGAATTTCTATCGATAGCAATTTTTGTATAAAGATACTCACCCACAAAACCCAAAATCACCCACCCAAAAGAACCCGAAAGTTGTAGCTTACGTAGACGGCACCATCCAGTTCCAGGAAACGAGTAGATCACGCCTCTCATGATCACGATCGCCATCTAAACAGTAGATGCACCACAGTCATCGTTGTTTATGAACCCACAGTATTGAACCCTCCGCTTTAAGAAACCCCAAATGTACCCAATAGTTAGCCTCTAATGAACCCACATAAAACACAAGTTCACTCCACTGCACGTTAGGCTGGCTGAAAGAACACCGCATATATCTAATTCGGAAGGAAAATCTAGGTCAGGAAGAGCATAAAGTATCAAGGGAAAGTCCTTAGCTAAGCATCAATCATCTAAAAGGATATCATCATGACTCATCTAATATATATCTATATAAATAAGCAAAATCGTGCTTGCTTCATGCTCGAATCTATACCAAATGCCTGTTCTACAGCATGTTTTTCTCGCCTGCTCTATAAGCATGTGGCTCTCTAAACTTACTCAGCTCTACCATCTGCCATCTAATACAGACAATTCAATAACATTTGCTTCTCCATTATAACCAACAGTTAACTGCTCCATCTTCGGGCGCAAGAAGAAGCAATGCCGGGACAAATATCTGGCCAAGCACAATGCCATCTTCGACACGCTCGATGTGGTCACGTACGAAGAGGTTGTCAAGGTGCCAGGTGGGTTTGATTTTTGCTCCCTGCCATAGGTGAACTTTTGTTTATATTTTGTGTTTTTTTCCCTCTTCTTGTACTTTTAGTTGGAGATCCAAACTTTCAGCGCAAAACGTTGGTGCTCTTGGGTGCTCATGGGGTGGGCAGGCGGCATATCAAGAACACCTTGATATCGAAGTACCCCGACAAGTACGCCTATCCCATTCCACGTAAGTTTCTATTAAATGTTAACTTTTGGTTGTCTTTTAGTTACTTCTTAAGAATAAATACATTTTGGGATTTAACAATATTTATTTTTGATTTATCAACATTTTTTAATGTTAAATAAGAAGATGTCACGGCTCCATTGCCCTGGCTAATGGAGCAGAAATCTATATATTCATCTTCTTTGTATCCCATAAAAATTGAATCATCATAAATTTTTAGCTGTGAAAAAAGGCATTTGTTTTTTTCTATAAAAATAAATTTAAATTTATTACACTAAAGCCGTAAAGTGATTTATTACTCGTTTATCGCTGTGAGATTTTAATGCCGGGCTTGTGTTTACATTTTTCGAAATAATACAGACCTTGTATTTACTATTTATTTACCATATAGTTAATGGCTTACCAATAATTTAAATTTAATGGCGGTACACAAGTAATTTAATAAGTTACAGCTAATTAAGTAAATAAATTCTAAATATTTTGTTTAGTATTACTTATTTAGTAACTAGTTGCCAACCGCTCTTACCATTTTGTTACCTTTATTATAAATACTAGAAATAATTCCCAATTTATAGATACAACGAGACCTGCCAAGCCCGAGGAGGAGAACGGACGCAGCTATTACTTTGTCTCGCACGACGAAATGATGGCGGACATCGGTGCGAATGAGTACTTGGAATACGGTAATGAACTCACTCACATACCAATCCCACATCCTTATACATATCTGTTGAACCTTTACAGGCACTCATGAAGATGCCATGTACGGCACCAAGTTGGACACCATCCGGCGTATTCACACCGAGGGCAAGATGGCCATATTGGATGTAGAGCCGCAGGCACTGAAGATACTCCGGACCGCTGAGTTCACGCCCTACGTGGTGTTCATAGCGGCTCCCTCGCTACAGAACATAGCTGATGTAAGAACAGTCTAGTAGTTAAAGTCAAACCCTTCTGATTGCTTTTCTTTTGGCCCAATGACAGTACGATGGAAGCCTGGAGCGATTGGCCAAGGAGTCGGAGATGCTGCGCCAGCTATATGGGCACTTCTTCGATCTGACGATTGTGAACAACGACATCAGCGAGACGATTGCCACGCTGGAGACGGCCATCGACCGGGTGCACACCACTCCGCAATGGGTGCCCGTCTCCTGGCTGTACTGACAAGACAGCGAACTGGAATGCCCCGACTGCCTCGAGGGCTGTGACTGCGAGTGGGACGCCTACACGCAGGCCTCTAACGTGGCGCTCTACTGAAGGCCCAAATGTAAACACGAAGGTGCACGAAGGATACACCATGCCACACATCACCACAACACACCATTAAAGTATTACCAAGGCACAAAAAAAACAACACAACTGCAGAAGCAACACAGTTAAAAACCACTACAACAGATGACAGTGAGGATTGGATGAAGGATGGATGGAAGGATAGAAGGCGCCTGGCGCCGAGCTATATAATTTAAGCATAAGATGGGTATTATGGGAACTGCGGTCGCAACGCAAAGACAAAAGTGTGTTAAATCACAAAAACAACCCTTTGTATTTGCCTCGTTTTTGTTTAACTGTTTTAAATGTATTAATTTTATTTTTATTTGTATTAATTTTAACCAATTGTATTTGCCATTCCATGCTCATTGTGTTATATACTTTATTTACGTTTATTGTTTTGTTGTACTTGTTTTTTTATTATTCAGCATTTAGTCACAAAGAAAAAAGAACAGCATTAAACGCTTATGTAAATCTTGCACTTGTTAGTGTCTAAGTTAACTCTGGAGTTAGAAAAATCGTAAGAAAACCGAACAGGAACAACCGAAGCACTCCAAATTGTTTTTACTCAAAGATTATTTCCGGTAAGAGTCTTGTGAGCAGATAGGGCGAGTTGAACGAGTTAGTAAATTATAGAGAAAACTACGTAATTAAATATAATTAAACATAGACACAAGGAGACACAACAGAAAAACAAAACAAAAAGAGAAAGAAAAAGAAAACCAACATGAAGAACCGAAAATAATAAACAAATTACGATGTGAGCAATTTCAAGTGTTTCAAGCCAAGTAAGAACTAATTAATTACATATGGAAGATCAAGTCAAGAGACGGTGGTAAAGTGCACGTTTTAAATGCAATAAAGAAAAGGTAACAGAAAAACCAAAAGATATAATTAATTCAGATCACAACACTTACACAAGGAGGAAAATGAAAAAGAAAACAAAAACAAAAACATATAATACCAAAATACCAAATTGTTGAAGTTTAATTGAATTCCATGAGAAATGAGTAAAACAAGAAAAAAATGCAATCAAACATAATAATAAAAAACACAAAAAAAGAGATACATAAAACATAATTGCAGCAGCGTTTAATTCAAGCAAAAACAAAGTAAACAAACGGATAAAAATAAAAACATAGAGTGAGCACAAAAACACACACATACTAACTGCAATTACGAATTAAAATAATTAGCAAAAGGATGAGGAGCAGGAGATTGCAGGTCAACGCAAAACAGGCAGATATAAGTATATATGACAACAAGAAAGAAAAGTAGGAAATCGAGCAAATATGTATACACAACACATATATATATTTTTCGAACAACTCAAACTCAGGTTGGATACATTGAAAATCAGTCAAGTTCAATAAGAATAATATAGCGGAGCGCTTCCTTTTAACCCACAGCCAAAACAAAAGAGAAAATAAAAGAAAATAAAATGAGAAAATGAGAAAATGTAAAACCTAACAAGGAGACCCAAAACCGAATCGAATAAGATCTTAAGTCGCTTTGAATTGAATTGAATTAATCGTACACCCACTGGCCCAGTAACCACCCAAGCAGCAGCTTCAAATTTTCGAGATACTTTTACAATGACACCGACAAACTGTCTTAGTAGCAATCAAGAAACCTGGCATTTTTTTTAGTGCAGCTTCATAAGATCAGCAACCAGCGCTCAGTAATTTCGCTTCTTTTCTCCTTTTATAAAGAGAGAGAGAGATATCCCATTCCCAAAGGTACTTTAGCTTCCCTCACATAGAGCTTCTGAGATGATGATAAATGATGAATGAAAACAGAATTTAGACTACAACTACAGCGGAGTGCACTTTGCAATCCAACTACTAGCCCATGCAGTTGGGTAATCCAGCAAACTTTTGGAATAGAAAATGAATTAACACTTGAGATCGAACTTAGTATTAAACCAAAACCAAACACATTTGTAAACACGTGCCACACCCATACACAAGATTCTCTAGCTATTCCTTAACAACAATTTAAGCCTGAGCTTAATTCGAGCCCAAAACCACACACGACCCACTTGAATTTCCCAACCGCACACCACACAACAACAACATAACTTATATCCAGAACAATTCTATGGTTTCAAAATGGTTGAACAATTTTGCATAGAGTATTATCGTTAGACGCTGGGCTATATAACTTTTTCGGTTCTGAGCGTGGATGAAGATAGCAGTGAGGCAATGCAAATCATAGAAGTATCCCCAAAAATATAAAAAAAAAAAACTTTAAATTAAAAACAACCGAACCTACCCGAAAAAAACTGAAGAACTAACTACCTACCCACAACCACAAAACGCAGCCAAGTGGCCAAATTAACTAAGTATTATACCTTAAATCGAACGAACGGGACGAGACGCGGGGAGAGTAACCTTATAAAGAACATGGCTGAAGAGATGCTAGATGTATGTACATTTTGAGGTTCCCCCCTAAGAAAACAAGGCTAAAGTGTGCCAGAAAACACCAAAAAATTATGATGAAAATGATTAGGAAAAGAATGCTCAAATCAAAATCTTATATTTTATGGTATTAACAATGATTAGGAACGATTGAACCGAATTGAAGGCGATGGGGGAAACACAGACACAGATATATAGAGAGTATCCCGAGATTGAGCTAGGATTTCGAAGGATTCGTTTCGTACTTTTACTTGATCCTTTTTTTCTTAGCCGATGCGAGCAGATTGTAGTACTGTACTCTAAGATTAATTTCACACTAAGATTAAGTAAAAATTTATTGTTGATATTACATAAAAAAAAAAAAAAAAAAACAAGAATGAAAAAAACAAATGAGATGAACACGGTCACGTAAACCAAATGAATTAGAATTTTTCTCTAATTTCATAAGTCAATGAGGAGGATGATGATGATATGATAGCGAGGGTAATGATGATGAAGATGAGTTGATAATGCTTATGATCTCCAATGTCAATATGTGTAGATTGACGCGATTTGAGCTAATTGAGTGAATTGTTATTAAAATAATAAATGAAATGAAATGAAATGAATGGATCGACAGATCGATCGATCGTTTTGGGGCGCAGATGGCCGCGGCGTTAGTAAATATCATTTAAAATAAATGATAAAAATGTCATTATATATACATAGTTTAAACATGGGATTAATAATAATAAATTAAAATGCAAATGCAAATGCAAATGATAAAGAACCGACGATGAAGATGAGAAACGGGAATGAGAATTAAATAAAAACGAGTAAACAACACTGAAATACCGAATTTTAAATACATAAGTTTTGAAGAATCAAGCATGCAGCAAAGACAAAGCAAAAACCCCAGAACACACACAGAAACCGAAACCGAAACCGAAACAGAAACAGAAAATAATAAAATGAACTTCTATATATGAAAAGAGAACAAAATATACGAGAGATACAATTTCAACCAGATTTTGCAATGATTTTCGGAAGTCCCCCTCCTAACCCTACCCCAAGTCAAGTTCCGCCAATAAAGAAAGACTCAAAATCAGAACCTTTCAAGTTCTTAGAAGCCAGTGGCGTGAATTTCGCAGAAATGCCCAATGGTGGTGGTCAGTGGAAGAAGTCAAGGCAATGTGACAAAGCGGATGCCCTGCAGCCATGGCTTTTTGAGCTACAGATACAGATTCAGATACAGATACAGATACATTTGTATCTTGAGCTTCTAATTGAAACATTACACTCGAAGCACTCAAAGCTTGACCCAAATTTGTTAGCATGTTTTCAAGGTAATGCGAATTTGATACTTTCGTTTTCTGTTTTCCGTTTTTTATCTTGTCCAGCAGCTCACTTTGGGTCTTATTAATTTTGACTTTTTTTCTCTGCTCTTTTTTTTTTTTTTGCCACAGATAAAGTAGCAAAAGTTTTTGATTACTGGCCAGACAGTTCTATGGGTATTACTTGCGCAAGTCTGGCCCGGCAAACTGCAATTATTTCAATCTGCCTCGCTTAGGGAAACCTCCTCTGTCTCCCCTCTCTCATCCACTACAGAATTCTCTTTCTAAAAGACAAAACTGGAAGTTGGCGACGTGCTTAGAAATATTAATAAGCGGAAAAGCTGTCCCTCGAACGGCAGATGTCAACAATAGATATTTGTGCCAGGCCATTAGCATTTGCCATAGCCATTACCGTTGGAGGAGTAGAACTTCTGCTGGCCCCCAGTCATTGAACTGCAATTGTTGCCTGAGCTGCAACATTTATTTACTCGACAGCAGCAACATGTTGCTGGCATGGCGCAACACATATTGCTGCTGCTGCTTTTAGTGGTGCTGCTGCTGATCGGCTTGTTCTCTCCGGCGATCGAGTTTTTGGTAGCCAGTTTCAGTTTGGTTTTGAGTCTGCGCGCTGGAAGTTGTGCTGATCGCGTTTGGAGTGTAAGTGCTGCCGCAAATTCCGGCTTTTAATTGCAATTGAAGGCACGTCGTTGCTGTCGCCGCCGTTCGTTCGGTGTGAGTTTAGATTTTGGTGTGTCTAGTGTTGAGTGTTTAGTGTTCAGGGCACTTGACTATGTGTGCTGTGTGCTGTTTGGTTGTTGAAATCCGCGCCAACGTAATATGATCCCGAGATCTGAATGATCTATATATAGGATTCGTTGCTTATCACTTGAGGGGTGCCAACTGAAACGTGCCGCCGACCCCTGACCCACAAACCATAAAACTCAACAACTGAGCTCTCTCGGACACTCGGTTTTGAACGATGCCAAAGCCTTGTGCAATGGCCCCCGGTATCAGAGCGATAAGGCTAACCAGTGTTAAGCCACTCTAGAGCTGCCGCCTAGTCTCAACATTTCGCATATTTACTCGAATATATATACTCGTAGAATTAGTATCTTACGGCCTGAGCTTCTGCCCAAAAAGTCGCTTTTGGTTGATGGTTACGTCAATTCCAAAACCGCGTTCGAGTTCTCGTGCAGGTAAATAATACTAAACAACGCAACGCAACAAAAATAGCCGCAGCAGCACCAGAAGCAACACCTCGCAGTCAGACAACTTTTGTTTAACACCGCTCAAGGAAACAACGCACACGGACCAAGCATAAAATTAAACGCGATATAAACTGCAGACCTTATGCCCTCACGTCTGTGCCCTTCGTCCGGTGTTTGCTCCAGGCCCAGACCAAGACCACAAAAGAGCTCATGAAATGCGCATAAAGAATCTCCAATTGACTGGGCCGCAGACTATCATGGTGTTAAGCACTGAGAGAAAAGTTGAGCACTAAAAATAATAAGGTTAGAAAGATATGGATATATTTATAGTTGAGCCAACGTTGGCTAAATTTTGCTATAATGCAAATTGCTGAATATTTTTCAGACTGATAGCAGCAATAAAAAAGTCGTAAATATAATATCATTCGTATTAGTAAGAAACAAACAGCATCTTAATCATTAATCTTATTATCATTTATCACTTCTTTTGTTGACTACTCATATCTTGTACTGCTAATAGTCCAGTCAGTGGTATTTCTCTCAGTGCCCAGGGAGTCACAGTTGAACGAGTTGATTTTTAGTTGCCTTTGCTTTAGAGTCCGAGTGCGCGCATTGAATTTTTGATTTAACTCGTCTTCTTCATCTCGAACTCCGGTTCGCGGCTTTTTTTTTGGGTCTTTTGCACAAGGTTATGCGTCCGCTATTGTAAATAAGACCCCCACCAACAAAACTAACTATCATTAAGTCATATAACACATGCCTTTCAAGCGGGACGCGGATTTTGAACCTCAAGTTTGGCAATTGTTCGGCAGTTATTTTCTTTGGTCTTTTCATTAAAGAACTAAGCTCATTAGGGTATTAGATGTTTGCTAGAAGTTGACAACCTTCGAAATCGGATTCTACATCAGAACACACAAGGCAGAAAAATGTTTGAATACTATAAGGCAATTGCAATCTTTGAGGTTCATCTTTGAAGTCAAGTTTAATCGAGCTACTGATTGCAGCTTCTTAGCAAATACATATACTTGTGTTTATAAATTTTGCAAACAAGTATTTCCTGGAATAGCCCAGACGGAGTTAGTATATAATATATATATACATATGCATATCATACATATTTAACAGGGAGACAAATGGCTATTTTCTTTGTTCCATTCAGGGCTAGTTTCATTACGAGCAATTTTCATTCAGTCATTCTTCCTGCTGTTTTTTTGTTTTGTTATTTTTTGTTGCTGCTGCTACTGCTGCTGGACAAGTTTAGCGACGCCTAGATTTTATGGTTCACGTAAATTGTTAACAATTTGAGTGTCATCATATGGCCGTTTGTCTGGCGTTGCGCTTGACTGCTTCGGGGCGACAGGTGTGACTCACGAACGTGGTGGCTGACACCCGGCTAACCTTTATGTTTTTTGTGTTTGTTGCGCGTCAAACACGTCGCTTATAACTGATAACGGCTTAAGTTAAAAGTTGCCTCGCCAACGTAAAAGCCATAATGTTAGAATGGCTTGAGCCAATTACTTTGGCTTCCTTGCCGGCCGTAATCTTTTGGCCAGAAAAAACAATATTGGCGAACGGAATAACCGGTCTTAAGTAGTGGCCAGTGGGCCAAACAAGAAAATCGGTTACGAGGCATGCAAAATATTTTTTGTTTTTAGGAAATAATTTGCAAGTCAAAGTGGCAGCCAAACCAATTTTGATGGCTTTACTTTGTTGGTGTTGTTTTTGTTTTTGTGTTTTTACGGCCAGCCCGAAAGCCTGCGGCTAATTGCAACCACTTAAGGTGATCGGAGCCAGTGCTTCGGCTGCTCATCGCCAGCTGGTGGCCTCTACGGAACCCACTCAGAGCAACTCAACCCGGCTTAACTCGACGCGAGTCGGTCGGTTCAAGTTCAGCGCCACTGAAGGTTCATGGCCAATTAGAGCGCGCTTAAATTATCGCCCGTTTATAGAGTGGAAAACAAACACGGCGGCCCTGCAATTATTATAGCCATATTGTTAACCCCTCTGTGTGGCAAACTACTGCATTGACTTTAAAAATATAAACAAGCAATAGGGGAAGGCCTGTTAAAAAACTTTCCGGTTAAGTCAGAGAGACTAATGAGTTAGTTAAGTGATTTATAGACACAACTATTACTACCTCGGTTTTCCATCGGTTTTCACAATGCAACTAAGAGTCATTTAAATCGTCAGTCATGATTGAATGTAAATTTTCTCTTCTAGTGTATCTAAAACTGAATAATTGTCTAGTAGGATACCAACGAGCTTATGAAGGGCTATAAAAATAAATGGATAACCTTTTATTTACCTCATCTTTTATATTTATTGACCCTTATAGTTCATACCTTGAATGCTGAGCGATGAGGTCGTGGCCTGGCCTTTTCTGGCTGCTGACCCTGGCGCTCCTGGCGGATGGAGGTCGTCGCGAGTCCCAGCTTCGGATTGGCAAGGCCATCAATATCTTCTTGCGTTATGGTTATCTGACCATTTCCATGCGGGTGATACCGCTTAATGAGAACGTGGAACCAGAACGATGGATGTTTAAGGAGCCCACCAAAAATATCTACAGGGTAAGATCTAAGCTACTACTTAATTTAAATATATTACCTCTTGACCCCAATTATCACAAAAACTTTGACTAGACGAAAACTTTTAATAGCGGGCCAAAAGTTGTTATCAATAAAGACTATTTTTAGTTCACTTCCTCTAAATTTTGTCGTATGGACAAACATATTATTTCGAATTTTATAAAAAACAAGATTATTAGCTTAATAAGGCATTGCCGCTCAATTTAACCGAGGTACAATAAGGCATTGCCGCTCAATTTAACCGAGGTACAACATTTATTAACGTTTTAGTTGGAAAACTAATTTTATAATGATGGGCAACTTTTTAATGTTCTTCGGACCTGGTTCTTTTTTACACAACCTTAGCTAATATACTCGTATATGTAATTTTCTATTTTCTAATAAATGTAATTTGATTTTAGAACTTAAGTGGACTGGCAGAGAGCCATGAGGACACAACGCCTGGCATCTTTCATGGAGACTTCCACTTGGAGTTCTGCGAAAATCGGAAGCAATTGTTCCAGGCCTACTTCCGGGATTTTTCTATTGAGCGAATGGACAAACCATGGGAGGCCTTTTCAGGCGGATGGTTTCCAGATAATGCAGCCAAAAAGCTTGGGATTAATACGTCCTATATCCAAGGAGACTACTCGTATGTCTTGGTGAGGGTGGTGCGCTTCAGGGAAACTGGTCGTTTGAAGGCTGAGATCCCAGTGCATCAACAATTGGAACCGGATGTTAGATCAAAAATAGACCAACTGCAAATCGGAAATATAACTTCCGCCGTTCGATTTATGGAAGAAGTGGGCACTCACTATGTAAATTCATACACCACAGGGAATTCACTGTATCAGGTGTTTGTGTACAGCCGGAAGAACTACAGTATGATCAAGGAGCGAATCAAGAGCAAAGGTCTGAATGGGCTGTCTAAGTTGGATCTTTATAACTACTTTGCGCCCTGGTTTGCCGCACATCTCGGCCAGATACGATCGGCTAGTGCCAACGCCACAGTAGAGCGCTGGGCAAGAAGGAAACTGCAATACGAGTACTATGTGGTCAAGTATGTGACCCTTCTCAAGTTGCACGGGAATAGTACTCTGTTGCGATCACTGGACTCGCTGCTGGGCAACGATGCTATCCTGCAGTTGGACCTTAAGTCGCTGAGATCGATCTTCCGGGATGAACCGGAAAAGGAGCGCTGGTATCATGAGGTTCTCGACAACAATATGAAGCTCTGGGAGCTCAACATGCCTCAGAGCCATCCCAGCCGATAGCCGCTTTTACAATTGCATACTGTGCGATATATCTGGCAGCCAAGGATCAAATAGTTCCTAGATGCATAGTTGTAGTTAGGACCTCTAGTGCGTAGTTAAGGTTCTGCCTGTGATAGTTTTAGGTAGTTTAATTGGACCGCAGTACATATCTGACTTGCATTTCAGCTGATTAGACCATAAGATCGCCTTATTGATGTAATAGTTTTTTATACTATAATAATAATGATAAAAGTTGAATAATATTGTGTTATTTATAGGTTACTGGTTAGTTAATGGGTCAGAAAATATTTTAATTTAAATTTGCGTTTAGCCACCCCAGTAACCGGTTTTTACCGTTTCGTCAAAGTTTTCATCCTTACTCATCCAAGACATTCACCATTATGTTTAATAATTTCTAGTATTTTTCTTAGTATCTTGTGGTAAATTTAAATAGTACAGGTACGGTTACATTAATATCGCACGTGCCGCTTATAGTGATTGTTTTTCTCGGATTTCTTTGCTAACATGGATGTTTTTAGCAATTGCGCGGGTTTTTGTCCCTCCTGTGGCTCCATTCTGCCCGAGCTGCAAGTCAAGGGCAATGTGATATGCTACAACTGCAGGAAGGAGTTTCAGCCAGATGGTAAGAGTACAACTACATATACAATTGTTCCAACAATATTCATATGTTTTCTATTTAATTCCCATAGTGTATAGTGGCGAGAAATCAGAATTTACAATCCATTTTAACACCTACGATCCCACCAAGGTGTTCAATAGGACTAAACGTGAGTCGGAGTCATCGGAGGCGGATGGACCCGTCGTAGACAGGAAGTGTCCCAAGTGCAACCACGACAAGATGTCCTACGCAACCCTGCAACTACGATCGGCGGATGAAGGTCAAACGGTGTTCTTCACTTGTCTCAAGTGCAAGTAAGTATCTTCATTTCTATACACTACCTTAATTAATTATTTATTTTCCGTTACAGATTCAAAGAATCGGAAAACTCTTAGATGCTAACAATACTATTGTAAATAATGTTAAAACTAGTGAAAGTAGTCGTGTTCGACGGCCTGGAAAATATAGAATATAAAATATTTACTTATAAAACAGATGTGATATTCAAATGGGACCCACCTCGCTGGCTTTAAGCCGGTTTTTGGGATTGTAAACAACTAGATTTGAGACCAGATTTATTTCCACAGCATGTGTGCAGCTGGGAAATAAGTTGTCCCAATGAATTCCAACGGAATTGGGAAAGCTACGTCAGAATATGGAATATGTTTGATTAAGATATAATGTCAGGAGTCAATACCAACCGTATCTTGCTGTAATCTGGCAGAGAGGTCAACTCCGGCCACTGATTCAGACGTGGGCTCCCCAGAGTACGAATGATAATGGCCAACTGCTCGATATCAGTGGTTCCGGCAAACAAGGGCACTCCTCGTAGCATTTCTGCCATTACGCAGCCTGGATTGTGAGAATGTTATTATTATATATTTACAATTTGTTATTAACTAACAGAAGAAAGTCTCCCGATCAAACTAAGTTAATAAAGTAATTTCATTACCTGCCGCCCACATGTCCACCCCTGTGCCATATTTTTGGCTGCCCCAGAGAATCTCCGGAGCTCGATACCACCTTGTAGACACTTGAGGAGAATAAAGACGAGTCTCTTCTTCGGGAAAGTACAAACGTGCCAGCCCAAAGTCGGCAATCTTGAGCATATCAGTATCACTAATCAGTAAGTTGGCTGGCTTGATGTCCCGGTGCATCAGACCCGCCTCATGGAGATAGGCAATGCCCTTGAACATTTGATGCGCGAACTTTCGCACTTGCTGGCGGCTCAGGGGATTCACTTCGCTCTTCAGGCGATTATACAAGGTGTCAGGCTGGTATTCCAGCACCAAGGAAAGACCAGTCAGGTCGGGATATATGTCAATGATGTTCAAAATCTATGATTAATCTAATGATTAGTGGTTGATGGAGTAACAAAAGTTAAACTTACATATTCCGACTTGCATAGCTGCAGGGTCTTAATTTCCCTTAGAGTATTCAGCGCTATATTCCCGAATTTATTCTTCAGGGCCACCTTTTTGATGGCCACCTCCTTATTACGCTGCAAATCGATGGCCTTAAACACGCAGCCATGGACACCTTCGCCGATTTTCTCGAGCATTTTATAACGACTTGGGGCATAGTCCTCCATTATGGGTACTGACAATTTTCTATTTGGTAATGGGGTCCGAGGTGTTTTGTATTCAATTTTCTATTCGTTTCCTGTAGTCCATGGTAACGGTCACAACAAACGCCGGAGGACCAGCTGACGGTGGAACCACCTGTTGCACGATGTTTACAAACGTTTTGGTTTCGTGGGAATCACGGGGGTTGGAAAGCCTAGGCCAAGGCGGAGCTGTCACAGCTTTCGATTTAAGGACATGCGCACTTCCTTCCTCGAATTCCTCCTGTCAGCCAAGTGTCAAGTCAGGGGGATACATAATTTTTCGGACCCTCGCACTGCAAAAGTTCTTCATTATCCGAGAGTTGAATTAAAATAAGTTTGTAAAATGCCATCGGTAGTGAAATAAAATAAAACTCCAGGACTTACAAAGCTGGTAGGTGCTAGAATGTATAATTAATATAAGTTTTAAGGTAGTGCAACACCTGAGGGAGAGCACAAACGGAGTTTCTTCCGTTGCGTTAACAAGGATACTAAATAATGCAAGGCTCGTTTTAATCATTAAATTGCTTTTTAATTACAAAACGTGCCAGCATTTGTGCTGCAATTTGAAGCAATTCGCCTGCATGGCCTTAGCCTTGCCCCACCTAACCCGTGAAATTGCATGCGAGTCCTCAAAATAACTGGTTGAAGGCATGGAATACACGCCCACTGGGCGCAGCCTTGCCTTGGCAGCCTTGGCTCACCTGTCTAACTCGAACCAACCCAACCACCGCCCACAACTTAGCTCCAAGTTCACGTCCTCGATATGCTTTATTCACAATTTAGAATCGTTTTGCAGCCCACGCGGTCAACATGTCCAGGCATAGTTGGATTCCATTCGTCTGCCTGCTGTTCCTGCTCCTTTGGAGCACCGCCTGGGGCAGGACAGCTAAAAGATCGGATGTCTATATAGCGGGATTCTTCCCTTATGGCGATGGAGTGGAGAATTCCTACACTGGGCGAGGAGTTATGCCTAGTGTTAAGCTTGCTCTGGGCCACGTTAACGAGCATGGAAAAATACTGGCCAACTACAGGTTGCATATGTGGTGGAACGACACTCAGGTGAGTTTGGAGGGATAACTTGAATTTAATTAGAAGAAAAATCTGCCTGTAAAAATGACAAATCAAATAAAATAACTATGATCTTCACATTTTTATAAATTTTCAAAATGATTTCCCCAAAATTTTTAGTGCAATGCTGCTGTGGGCGTAAAGTCCTTCTTCGATATGATGCATTCGGGTCCGAACAAAGTAATGCTCTTTGGAGCGGCATGCACTCATGTGACCGATCCTATTGCCAAGGCCAGCAAGCACTGGCACCTCACCCAACTGAGCTATGCGGATACCCATCCCATGTTCACCAAGGATGCATTCCCCAATTTCTTTCGGGTGGTGCCCTCGGAGAATGCCTTTAATGCGCCACGTTTGGCCCTTCTCAAGGAGTTCAACTGGACGAGGGTGGGCACTGTTTACCAAAATGAACCCCGCTATTCGCTGCCCCACAATCATATGGTGGCTGACTTGGATACCATGGAGGTAGAGGTGGTGGAGACCCAGAGTTTTGTCAACGATGTGGCCGAGTCTCTAAAGAAACTTCGCGAAAAGGATGTGAGGATCATCTTGGGCAACTTCAACGAGCACTTTGCTCGCAAAGCCTTCTGCGAGGCTTACAAGTGAGTGAAATTTCATAGAAATAAAGATTATTAAACATTAAACTGAAAATATGAATATCTTTGCATTTTATCAAATAATATTATTATTTTCTAGATTGGACATGTATGGCAGAGCTTACCAGTGGCTGATTATGGCCACATACTCGACTGATTGGTGGAATGTCACACAGGACAGCGAGTGCAGTGTGGAGGAGATTGCCACAGCCCTGGAAGGTGCCATTCTAGTGGATCTGCTGCCCTTGTCCACCAGTGGTGATATCACTGTGGCTGGTATAGTAAGTATCAGAATTCTCAATAAATTTCTTAAATAATATTTTTAATACCTATTTTTAAATTTCTTGTAGACTGCAGATGAGTATCTTGTGGAATATGATAGACTTCGGGGAACTGAATATTCCCGCTTTCATGGTTATACCTATGATGGAATTTGGGCAGCTGCCCTAGCTATTCAGTATGTGGCTGAAAAGCGCGAGGATCTGCTAACACATTTTGATTATCGAGTTAAGGATTGGGAGAGTGTCTTTCTGGAGGCTCTGAGAAATACGTCCTTTGAGGGTGTGACGGTAAATAAACCTGAATATCGTCTTTCCAAAATTGGAAGCTAAATATATAATATTCCTCAGGGTCCCGTGCGTTTCTATAATAATGAAAGGAAGGCTAACATCCTAATTAATCAGTTCCAGTTGGGACAAATGGAAAAGATAGGCGAATACCACTCACAAAGAGCCCACCTGGATTTAAGTTTGGGGAAACCAGTGAGATGGGTAGGAAAAACTCCTCCCAAAGATCGAACTTTGATCTATATTGAGCACAGCCAGGTCAACCCAACAATTTACATTGTATCGGCTAGTGCATCGGTTATTGGTGTTATTATTGCTACCGTATTTCTGGCCTTTAACATCAAGTATCGGAATCAAAGGTGAGATTTTACAATAGTTTGACGATCTTTTCTTTATTAAATGATCTTAAATTTTATAATACTTCAGGTACATCAAGATGTCCAGTCCGCATCTGAACAACCTCATTATTGTGGGCTGTATGATGACCTATCTTAGCATAATTTTCCTAGGACTGGATACCACTCTAAGCAGTGTGGCAGCTTTTCCTTATATTTGCACAGCGCGAGCATGGATTTTGATGGCTGGGTTCAGCCTGAGCTTTGGAGCCATGTTCTCGAAGACGTGGCGGGTGCATTCGATATTCACCGATCTTAAGCTTAACAAGAAGGTGATCAAGGACTATCAGTTGTTTATGGTTGTAGGAGTGCTGTTGGCCATTGATATAGCCATCATAACCACCTGGCAGATAGCAGATCCCTTTTACCGGGAGACTAAACAATTGGAACCACTGGTGAGTTGATTAATTTTAAATGTTTTTAAGTAAATATTTAAATTTTTTATATTCCACAGCATCATGAGAATATTGATGATGTTTTGGTGATACCCGAAAACGAGTACTGCCAGTCCGAGCACATGACCATATTTGTTAGCATTATTTATGCCTACAAAGGCCTACTATTGGTAAGTAAAAATATAATTATTTTGTTTTAATATTAAACTAAAAAGTTTAATTTCTGTTCTATAGGTCTTTGGAGCCTTTTTGGCCTGGGAAACTCGACATGTTTCCATACCAGCATTGAACGACTCCAAGCATATTGGTTTCTCCGTTTATAATGTGTTCATTACCTGCCTGGCAGGAGCGGCTATATCCCTGGTGCTATCGGATCGCAAGGATTTAGTTTTTGTCTTACTCTCGTTTTTTATCATTTTTTGTACGACAGCCACTTTGTGTTTGGTGTTCGTACCGAAAGTAAGACTGGTAGTAAGGAAGTTTTGTAGTTTTTGTAGCTGTTATATGTTACATATACTCGTGCTAAATGAATGTTGTTTAGGGGCAGTGATATAACGATCAGTTTTAGTTTAGAGCATTCAGACTAATCGGATATCACAGCCCATTGAGCTGATCTTTCAAATACACCTTGATACAGAAACAACATGTACTCGAAATTTCAAAACAGATCCTCAAATGCTATATAACACTACAGACCAACTATAAACTTTAACTATTTAGAAAGCAGCAGCAAGGTTGTAGTTCAAATCTATATCCTCGCTGTTGAAATACTTTAGACTGTCCTATTTCACTGTCCGTAGAGTTGATCCTTCCTAGATGTTGATCCTGTGGTATAATTTTTGGTTAATATTCATGCGAATCGTTTTGCAGTTGGTGGAGCTGAAAAGGAATCCCCAGGGCGTCGTGGACAAGAGAGTGAGGGCCACCTTAAGACCCATGTCCAAGAACGGGCGACGGGACTCCTCGGTCTGCGAACTGGAGCAGCGTCTGCGGGATGTAAAGAACACAAACTGTCGATTCCGAAAGGCTCTGATGGAGAAGGAGAACGAACTGCAGGCCTTGATCCGCAAACTGGGACCCGAGGCACGGAAATGGATCGATGGTGTGACCTGTACAGGTGGCTCTAATGTGGGCAGTGAACTGGAGCCAATCCTAAGCGATGACATTGTCAGGTTATCGGCTCCACCGGTGCGACGCGAAATGCCCAGCACAACAGGTGAGTGGTTAAGATGGAGGGGTCTTCCTAGATATGGTCATGCATTGAGAACCCTTTGTCATAGAAGTTACCGAGATGACGTCCGTGGACAGTGTGACCTCAACCCATGTGGAAATGGATAACTCCTTTGTGTCGGTGCAGTCCACAGCAATGGCACCATCGCTTCCACCGTAAGTTAACTAATTCTTCGTTATATTATATCCTTATTTTTCACTCCTAAACAGCAAAAAGAAAAAACAATCAATTGTGGAGCATCACTCGCATGCCCCTGCTCCCACCATGATGCAGCCCATTCAGCAACAGTTACAACAACATTTGCAACAACATCAGCAAATGCAACAGCAACACCAACAGCAGCAGCAGCAGCAACACCAGCAGATGCAACAGCAGCAACAGCAGCAGCATCACCAGCAGCAACATCACCGCCATCTGGAGAAGAGGAACTCGGTGTCGGCCCAGACTGACGACAATATCGGTAGCATTACCAGCACGGTGGGCAAGCGAAGCACTGGAGATTGTTCTACCATGCGGGAACGACGACAGTCGACTGCTTCGAGACACTATGACAGTGGAAGCCAAACACCCACTGCCCGGCCAAAGTACAGCAGCTCGCACCGGAACTCCTCCACGAACATCTCCACCTCGCAATCGGAGTTGAGCAATATGTGCCCCCACTCGAAGCCCAGCACTCCGGCTGTGATTAAGAGTAAGTCAGAAGACTGAGATTTACTTTTAATACATATTAAAACCCATTTCCCTTTACCAGCTCCCACTGCCTCGGACCATCGCCGCACCAGCATGGGCTCCGCCCTGAAGTCCAACTTCGTGGTGTCGCAGAGTGATCTCTGGGACACGCACACGCTGTCGCACGCCAAGCAGCGCCAGTCGCCGCGCAACTACGCCAGTCCGCAGCGCTGTGCGGAGCACCATGGCGGGCACGGGATGGGCTATGACGCCAATACCATATCGCCCATCCAGCGGTCCGTCTCGGAGAAGAACCGTAACAAACACCGACCGAAGCCGCAAAAGGGAACGGTGTGCCAGAGCGAGACGGACAGCGAACGGGAAAGAGATCCACCGCCCAGCAGTCAGCCATGCAATCAGCCGCGAAAGGTCAGCAGGAGTTCCAATATCCAGCATGCCGCCCACCATCACAGTTCGCCAAATGTGGCGCCGGACAAGCAAAGGAACAGGCAGCGTGGCAAACAGGAAAGCAGTATCTATGGGGCCAGCAGCGAAACGGAACTCCTCGAAGGCGAAACGGCCATTCTACCCATCTTCCGGAAACTCCTTACCGAGAAGAGTCCCAACTATCGGGGCCGGAGTGCCGTTGGCCAGAGCTGTCCGAATATATCCATTAAATGCGATATCGTCGAGTACTTGTAGGCGGCGCGAGGGATATACATTATGTAGTCGAACTCCTATTGTTAGATCCAGTTGCAGTGTAAAGATTACCTTTGTTTTTTCTCGTTATGCATCTACATACTATGTGAGGCAGGACACACACCATTTAGAGAACTAGTAGCAATGACATGAGATAGTTGAGAAATAAATTACAATTTAAATTAATCATATATCTGTCTGTGTTTCGATTTTACAAAAGGGTATCTTAAAAGTCCAAAACCACTTTTAAAGCCTGCAAGTTAGTACTGGTTTTAACTTAAAGATGAAGGAAATATCGCTAATTTCACTGTGTCTAAGCAAATACGGCAATTTTAATTTATTTAAATGAGCAAATGTTTATGATTGGTTGTTCCTGATGGGGAGATCTATTGCAGAGCGATACGCCGGAAGTGATTGTTGAGAGGACCCTCGTCCGAGTAGCCGGCTATTTCCTGTGGTATGATTCCAGACTCCTCGATGGACGTGCATGGCCGACACATGCACTCCAATGGCGCCTTGGTTAGGACTTTCTTGAACTTCCGCTCGCCGGGCTTTACTTTGGGACAGAAAAGCGAGACGGCTGCCTCCCGTTCGCCAGATTCCTGGCAACACATGCAGGAGCGCTCCATCTGCCAGATCTTGCTGCCAGAAACCTGAAATTGGGAAATTAATAAGAAAGCTATTTCCATGTTTTTTTAGTTATATAAACTGAAAAGCCCACCTGGATATAGCTTGCACAGCGACCAACACAGGCGAACGAAGGAATCGGCTTGGGCACACATCCAGGATACTGAAGCACATGGATGACAGGCGTCACCTGGCAATCATCGCCCAGATGCGTAATATCTATAAAGGAAATGCAATTTCTTAGATCCATTTACAATCTTAAATATATAAAACCGTACCATTATCTCCGCCGGCCACAGAATTATCCGCCTGTGCTGTGCAAAGTTTCAGGATGCTGACCAGGACGCAGTAGAGCAGGATCAGGACGAAGACCTTGTTGTTCTCGTGGCGGAGTAGGTGGCGCAGCATTTCGTCGACCCAACTGCAAGTGTCCTTTCGCAAGGAATGGAAAGCGCCAGTTGCAGCCGGGGGGCTTTTATAGACCGACTTGGCCAGCGGATGCCGTCCTAATGGCCGCTCGACTGCGTGAATTATGGCCTAATAAAGCAAGCGCCTTTCAAACCTTTTTGCCTAGTAATTGCGTACACGAAAAGGGCATTTCTCCCGCAGCGCATGACCACGGCAATCTCTCTTTATTTCCCCACAACTTATTAACTAATCAGAGCCAGGCCAACAGACTGGCCAAAGCCAATAGAACCACCACCATGAAAGTTCCTCCATGGAATCCGGAGCTGCCATTTCTGTTGATCAGATAATTACCTAAAGCGAACAAATGCGAATCGGCCCAGCTTATATTTTCATCAACAGATTCCAAGGATTTGGAAAGGACTGCCGCCGCCGATTCACCGAAGAGTTGGTGATTGTTTCTATAGAATTCCTCAAACAACTGCTGCTGCTCCCGTGTGGTGAAGTACTCTGCCATATCACTGATTACCTCTGCCGTTTCCGACCAACTATTAAGACTGAAAGGAAATAATAAATTAAACACAACTTCTAAAGCAAATAAATATGAAACTTACTCTAAAGCCAGTATTGTGATGTTTGCTGTTACCATTTCAAAAATGGGCTGGACTAGCTCAGGATTCTCTTCATACATCCGGGCTATAGCCTTCTTTTTAAGTTCCACAGTTTCTGGACCATCGATGATCATCTTGTAGTAATGGGTTTCATAGTCGCTCGTACAGCTGGCAGCTAGCCAGAGCAACTGCCTCTCGCTGGGACGAGTTTCAAAGAAGTACTTGCCCCACACTAGAGTATATGAATTAAAGTCGCTGCTACTGGCTGCACAGTAGAAGGTTTCCCGATAGTCCGGCGATGGTTGCTCTGAAGATGTCACAAACTGGACATTCACCTTGTTCCTGCACTTACTGGCCTGGTATCGGCATAGCCATTGGACCAACTTTTTTCGATTGGCCACATCTAGCGGAGTATCCTGAGAACTCCAATCTACTCCTAGCTTCTCGAATACAGACTTTGTGATATCGGAAAGATATCTACGGAAGTGGGGCAGCTGTTCTGGTGTCAATCGCTTTGCCACCAGGTTCATGTTCTCATAGACGGCATACCAAGCCACGTAGTCCACCTCCTTACTCATATACTCTAGGAATTGAAAGACCTCGTAATAGTCCACATACGAAATTTCAGCAAGACTGAACATATCATCAATAAGTTGAGCTCGGTTCTCAACAGGTATTCCACTGTGATTCGATGCAGATAAAGCTGACAGAAGACCATTCCTTAATTTTCGATCATAATACACCCGTTGGTAGTTCGACTGCCTTAGGTTTAGCAAAATCCAATCAATTTGATCGTCAAAAAGTATCTGCACCTTGTCATCGGTCTTGTTAAGATATTCACTTGGCGTAAGGTTATAGAAATTGGGTGACAAACTACTGGCATAAGTTATAGGCACAGTGTACTTCAGGTGCCGATTACTGCCATCGTGGATATTGAGCAGGAATCGCTCCTGCTCTACAGTGACTAGTGGGTATTTTCCAGCCCAATGTCTCACAATTAGCAAGGGATAACCAACCTGCTCTGTGTAATCCTCGAAAAACTGTGTCAGATTTACTTCCTGATTTGATGGCCAGTTCTCTTTGAGATGATCAAATAAATTACTAGGAACAGTGTTGGTCAAGTGGCTGAAAAGAAACGGTTATAAATAATAAAATCTAATTAATTCCCTAAACTTACTATTGCTTTAAATAATTCCTAAGAGCCCTATCAAAGTTTTCTGGTCCCATAAGATTTCGCCACATCCTTACAATGCAGGCTCCTTTGGCATAGGCAATCCCGCTGAACTTGTAAGCAATCTCCGACGGAGTTTGTATCTCCGTTTCCGGACTGGTCATGGGTTGAGTGCTGTTCCGGGAATCTGTACCAAAGATCAGTTGCATTTGACGCACCACAAACTGTTCGTCCAAGTGATACTCCGGATAGAGCTAGAAAGATTAGATTGTACTTCTTATATTAGTATGAACATGAAAGTATATAAGATGTTTGGGCTTTCACCTGGTGTGCCATAAAGTACTCGTAGTAGCGGGCAAAGGCCTCATTTAGCCAGAAGTAACTCCACCAGGAGAAAGTTACACTATCACCGAACCACATGTGTGACGTCTCGTGGGCAATGATCCTTATGGCGAACTCTTTATCCGACCAATCGTCGGAATAGCCAGCTTCCTGAACGAGGACGGCATCACTTTATGTTTAGAATAAAATGAAAGGAAAGATTATCTCAAAAATCTTATATAAGATAAATCTATATGATCATAATTAATAATAGCATTTGCAATCTAATCTTAAAGTAAAATGTTTAAAGTTTACTCACCTGTAGATGATGAGGCCCCAGTTCTCCATGCCATTGTGCGGAAACCTAGGAGAACTGGCATATTGTAGCACCTCGTTACCCAGCTCTGCATATGGAAGTTTGAATAACTCATCATAGGCTGATACCACCTGCTGACCCACATGATAGCTGAACTCCGTATTGTTGTAGAACTCCGGTCGAGTTAGCACAGCCAACTCACTCACATTTCCACGGGCAGAATAATTGGCCACCATGAAAGCCAGTAGATATGTGGACATAACTGGTGTCTCCTCGAAGTGATCGACAAAACGATCCTGGCTAAAACCAAAATAGGGAAGGAATATAAGTTTTTTTAAACTGAAATTTTTGATGAATCATTTTTGTAAATTACCTTGCTGGAGTGGTTTCTTTGAGCTTTGTGTTGGCAATCGACTGATAACCATTGGGACGGACAACCTGCAACTGGAACTTGGCCTTCATGGCCGGCTCATCGAAGCAGGGCAGAACCAAACGGGCATTGATGCGCTGCATCTGGGTAACGGCCAGCCATTTGGTAACATTGGTATCCTGCTCCACATAGCTGGCGGAGAAGAGTCCAGCCATGTCTGTCCGTATGTGCCCGGTGTACTTGAACCCAAGGGTATAATTCTTTCCGGATTGCAAAGCCTGCGTCAACGGTACTGTTACCTGCTGGGTAGCGGCCTCATAAACCAGTCGACTGATATCGATGACCTCCATCTGTGCGCCTGTCTCCTCCAGCAGCCAGCATTCCGATATGTTTAGCGTATCGGCATGTAAAATGATTTGTGGCACCGCCAGCGGGGAAACCACACGCATTGTAATGCTAACTTCGCCATCGAACAGAGTGGGCTCGGCAGAGTCTCTCAAAACGCCAATGATCAGGTTATAGTATGAAGGAACGACGCTACCATCCAGCCGATAATCAGCGCCATTTGCGACGCAGAGTAGTAGCAAATATAGTAGCCTCAGGGCCACAGACCGAGACACTGAACCGCTCATGTCGATCGAGACGGGAATACTGCGCAGTCGGATTCCCCCTGCGAGAGCTCCGAAATCGCAATACCAAACAAAAGTTCCCCGCCGGCAAACAGGTGTCGTTCACAGATGATTAGATTATGTTATGTTCAAACACGATTCGAAAAGTCGTCACACCTCTCTCACTTAATGTATTCCTATTGGCACGCGATGTTCATTAACTTGCTAAACGAAATCACAATTATTAGTCTAACTGCCACTGATAGCTATTAAATGACTTCGATTCAGATAATGTATTTCTAGTTTATTCCAAAAAGATAAGGAATTTGGAATGCTAGAATGTGGCTTGTGAGAATAAATAAATATAGGGGGATAGATTTATGTTTTTGAAAAAATTATAAATTCTTATTTTAAAATATGGACTTAACACTACATCACTATTTCCCAAAAAACCACACTTTGAAAAACCCCCTTGCTATTCATTCATCATCAAGGTGGAAAGTCCAGCATGGTTCCTGGTATAAAAATCGATCAGATGTGATAAGGATTAGATTTCTGATTATGTTCCAGGAAAAATGAATCACCTGAATTAACTAGAGAGCATGATTAGATCAATACATTGTAATCAAAACTGGAAAAGTGATAAGGAAAAAAAGGACTAACTCGTCATGAGCAACAAGGAAGGATCACCCAACTTCAAACTTCCTGGAATCTACTTAAACTAAAGCAAAAAATATAATTAAATAATTTTATTGATTTATTTGCTTAATTCAATAAAAGATCAATAAAAGAAACTTATTTTTCGCAATCAATATCTCATAAAATAAAGTACGGAAAATAGTTTATAACTCTGATACGAATTTATGGCTTTCCGATGATCGATTAATTGGGCAATGGGGAATTTAGTTCAATGAAATCCCCTCAAGATTGTGAACTGAATCATCAGAACTGAATGGCGCTAATCAGATTGTAAACTTTGTCGCCAAGGAGGCCATTTAAGCCTTATTGTATGATAGATTTGCCAAATACCGGTAATAATAATACAAGCCTATAGTGTGTGGTTATCTACAAAATTGTGTTATTTTATTGGGTGCTCTAAGCGTACAAATACTTTATGGGTTATGTGACCCGATCGATTGCACCTGGGTTAGTCTTGGCTAGTCTTAGTTACGCAGCATGGTGATCAGGGCCACCATCAGGAGACTAAGGGCACTGAAGGCATTAACCATAGCACTTCCGTTGCGATTGGCCAGATAGCTGCGGAAAACTCCCAGCTTGGCAGCAGCCCATTGCAGATTCTCGTCCACAGTCAACTCGGCTGCGGTCAAAGTGGCCTGGGAGGTTCCGAATTTGGCTCCATTGTTGGTGTTGAAGGTCTTCAGATCAGTCAACTGCTGCTGGGTGGTGAAACGAGCGGCGATGTTGGAGATCACAGTGGCGACGGCGGAGTAACCACCCATGCTACAAAAAAAATTGAAAAAAAATATATAAATTAATTTATACGAAAAGGAATTTGAAATTATTAGAATACTTACGCCGTAGCCAGCTCCTCGTATTTCTGAGTGACCAGGGCGAACACGGGGCTCACGTTCTCGTTGTTCTCAGTGTACAGAGTGGACAGAACGGAGGACTTGTCCTGCCGGCGAATTTCATCGCTGAGGACCAGGTCGAAGACCTTCTCAATCAGAGCCTGGGTCTTAACACAACCGAAGGAGTTCTGCAGGAGGGTCTCCTCGGTGGCCACGGTTTCAGTCTTGAATTTGTTATACAAAGCCTGGAATTCAGTTTCTCCACCCTCACGGAGACCCACACAATAGACGGTGGCACGAATGTTCTTCGGCACAGTGGTCAGCGATTGGAAGTAGGTCTTGGCCTTGCTGATACAATCGGCACTGCCATAGCGACAGGCCCAGGAAAGAACCTTGGTGCGCAGATAGATATCCAAGGCAGTATCACTGGTTGTCTCGTTGAATCCAAGCTGATTGTAGGCCTTGTTGGTCAGGGTCTGGATGTAACTATTGAAGTCAGCCGTATCATTACCAAGTCGGATGGTCAGATAGCTGAAACCATTAAAGGCCGACGTCCAGGGAATATAGTTGGTCTCCGTCTCCAAATACTCAATCACGTCCAGAGTGAGGTTGTAGGTAATATTTCCGGCCCTGGCCAAATTGAACAGATCGTCCACAATCTGAGCTCGGTTGCTCTCGTGAATTCCTCCCCAGTTGTTGGTATTCAAAACTGCGTGGATAGCATGCCAGTTGCTTTCCGTGTAGTTAACACGGTAGTATCCAGTCTCCTGAATATTGGCCACAATCCATTTAATAGCAGTGGGGTAAGTCACAGTCGTGGTTACGTTAGGCTTCAGGATGAATTTGGGCGTGGAGTTTCCAAAGTCAATGGCCTCACTAGTGGTGTAGGAGATGGGGACAGTATATTGCAAATTGGGATCGGCACCGTCGTTCTCCTTCAGCAGGAAACGCTTTTGGCTAAAGCTCACCGACTTGAGGTCGGCGCTGACTTCAACATTGACTAGCGGATAGCCCACCTGCTCGGTAAAACTCTTGAAAATGTTCTCGGAGCTCTCATTAAAACTGGAGTTGGGCCATTGGGCCTGCCAGGCTCCCAACAAATATTCGGGAACAGATGGCTGATATTCGCTGTAAAAGATTTCTTTAGAAAAAAACCTTCGAATTAGCTTATAAAGTACTTACTATTTCTTTAAGTATTCCTGCAGAGCTTTCTGGAAATTCGTTTCGTTCATGGTGTGTTTGATCATGCGGATGAAGGAGGCTCCCTTGTTGTAGGAGATGCTGTTGAACATGCGACTGAGGTGGGCGGGTGTATATGTGTTCTCATCGCTCAAAGGATTGGTAGCATTGGTCGAGTCCATGGCCATGACGGACTGCACTTGATCCACCACAAACTGCTTCTCCAATTCCCATTGATCTTCAACCATGGCGGTACCAAAGTACTGGAAGTACCGTGCGAATCCCTCATTGAGCCAGGTGTAGCTCCACCACTTGCAGGTGACCAGATCGCCGAACCACATGTGCGCCTGTTCGTGAGCCACCACGGCGGCGATGGACTGGCGAGAGGCCAAAGTAGTTGCCGATTCATCTACCAAAAGACTGCGTTCCCTGTAAGTCAGCAGACCCCAGTTCTCCATTGCTCCAGCTGAGAAGTCAGGAATAGCGGCCATGTCCATCTTGTCGTTGCCCATTGAGTAATAGTTCTTGTCCAAGTAAGTGCCCATCTCCTTCAGGATCTGAATACCCACGTTGTAGGGATACTGGGTCTGGGCATAGTACTCGGGACGAGCATAAACTCCAAAATCATCATCCCTGCGGGCCACGAATTCGGAAATAATGAAGGCCAGGAGATAGGTGGACATCTTAGGAGTCGTCTTGTACACATCCGTAAAATAACCTCTAAGCATGGGTAAATATAAACATTTTGGGTTAGTTAAAACTTTTTTAAAAATAAATGCCTTAATTTTAGGTTACAAAATATTAGAGTTACTTACTCCTCAGTGCTGGGAGTAGATTGGATCAGACGGGTGTTACTGGCCGAGTTGTAGGTCCTGTGACGTTTCAGTGTGACATTGAAGGTAGCCTTGAACTGGGGCTCATCGAAGCTGGGGAAAGCGCGGCGGGCATGATTGGTCTGGAATTGAGTGGATCCGAGCCACTTGGTAACATTGTTATCATCCACATAGTAACTGCGATAGAATCCTTGCATATCATCCTGCATCAGACCGGTGTAAACGAAATGCAGGATATATGGCGTATTTGCCGTCAATGGGGCTGGCGTTTTGAGAAGGACAATATCCGTGTCATCGTTGGTTGTGTTGGATGAAAATGCAGTTGCCGCCGGATTGGCCACACCAGCAGCTGGCTTCAGCCAAAATTCGCTGACCGAAAAGGTGAGATTTTTCGCGTGCAAGTGCACGTCACTTGTGCTCTGGTTAGACGTTACTTCGATCCAGACCTCGCCATCAAAGGTGAACCTCTTAGTGCCCTCGGTTTCTAGTAAATAGGGTCGCAGGGTGATGTTGTAACTAATTGGCGTGATGTGTTCAGCAAGACGGTAGTCCTGCAGCTCAGTGGCAAAAGTCGTCGGCGGCTGGACATCTAAGGTTAGTTGCCGAGTTCCTGCGGTAGCCAAGGCCACGCAGGCTGTCAGAAGAACAGCCACTCGAAGGGCGAACATTTTACCTATTGAATGAATTATAACAAATACGACTATTGAAAAGCGATTACTAAAACAGATGGTTAAAAATTAAACTCCTTTTTCCTAGAAAATAACAATAACTTTCTTTATCGTTTTTAGATAGAGATTTGTTAGATTTTTGTAGATTTTATTCATCACATTTTTTTATAAGGTTAAGGATATTTTCCCTTTGGCTTTCAAATTCACCCGAACTTTCCACACTTATATAACCACTGAAGACTCACTTTTTAAGGGTTCGATCGTGGACCCTGGACTAGATCTAGTATTTCGCACGCCAATCGACACGCGATTCGAATCGAAAACTAAATGCCGCTTGGCTTTGGGTCCGGTATATATGGTGAGTGAAAAGCGTTTTGCGACTTGGCCATTATCAGTGGTTTATCTGCAGCCTTTAACGTTTTATTTAGGCCCAGATAAAGTTGGCCTGGTCTGTAGATTAAGCGGCAATAGCGATAAGAAGCCATAGCGGTGATTTACACACTCCGCCATTGGCTACCAATCCAAACCGACGTTTTTCGAATATTTTCAGACGATGGCATAACATTGGATGTTCGTTGCACTGCTTGTTTGAGGAAGCCTTCGCACTTTATGATGCACTGCCTCCAATCTTATCAACCATGATTTGCACTCTTTCATGAAGGGTTGGCAATCAAACGTTGGATGACCAGCTTGCCAGTTGTCTTTGATATCATTGTGACGTACCAACCAAGTTTAAGACAAAGGTTTTAACTATTCAATAAAATCGAAGTTATATGATTGAAAATTGTAAAACTATTTTGAAGGGTATAAAGTGATAAACAATATTATCTAAAAGTGGTGTTCATTTTATAGAAATTGGATAGTTTTAAGAACTAGGATATTTCTTAAATAACATGATGATAATAGTATTTACCTGGATTCATAAAACTTATCGGAAGGTGGAATATAAAAGATTGAGCCACAATCTGCTATGCTCGAGTATATTGCACTCTTTTGGGAACTTTTTCCTGTTTTGAAGCACTTGACGAATGTTGATTGATGTCGACACTCGTCAAGCAAATCAGAAATCGAAAGCAGATGATTATTTATGGTCTATTATAAATATAAATTTTCATTACACTACAGAAATGTCCGGCTTGGTGGCAAGAAATGTATACGCTACTTCTAACTTTAAGACTTTTTAAGATGTAAGAGTTAAACTCTCAAGAATATTGTCATAATTTTCTATTAATTATCTCTGTAATTGCCTATCAGAATAATAAATAAAACTAACGCCAGAAGTAAGACTCCATAATCTATTTGTCATTTCTTTGCAACTGCAATCAGTAAACCCAATAATCTTTTTCGCCAAAGCAATAAATTACAAGTTTTTTTCTTTGTTACCATTTGGGGAACTACAAGACTTAAGATTTCGAAAAACCCTCGAAAATATGGATTTAGTTGCCAAGGCTGATTAAGCATGTATTTATGGTTCTCTTGTGGACAAAAGAACTTAGTTTTTCAGCAGCTTTTGGAAGAGGAAATTTATGAGATCACCACGCTTATCTTGGCCACTTCGATCAGGCAATTCACGGCCATAAAGCGCTGAAGGGAACTGTAAATTCTAAAGCCAAATAAGCAAAAGTCTTCTGGATTTAATGGAATTTATTGGCGCACGAGTGCAAATCTATGACTAACTTAAGATCTACGATTTTCTAGAACAGCTTGGCGGCCAAAAGGCAGGCGAAAAGGGCCAAAAGAGAGGCGTTCAAAGCGGAACTGCCGCTGCGGAATCCAGATACCCAGGTCATCAGTGGCTCCCTGTTGGATTCCAGCCATGCGTTGTTAGCATTCACATTGGCATCCACGCTAGCCTGCAATGTGGTTGGAACATATTCGGATTCCTTGACGGTGGCCACCAGTTTCTGAAGGGCCTCGTTCTGCTTATCGTTGACGACGTACGCCGAGATGCCAACAATGTCGCTGTACAGGGGGTTTACACCACCAAAGCCGGGGGTCAGCTGGGCATATTCCTCCCAGTTTTCCTGTAGGAATTCAATGGAAGCCAACAGGCCAACCTCACCGCGGGAATAAGCAGGGCTCAGCAGTGTGATCCTCTCCTGCTCCCTCAGGCCATTCAACTTAACAATGCTGCTGGACACGAACTTCTGCACCTGGTCGGCGTTCTGGGAGCAACCCAGGGCAGAGATGAGGAGACGACGCTCCGCTTGATCGGTGGAGTTAAGCAGTTTGTTGTACACAAAGTCAAAGTTCTTGTCAGAGGTCTGCCTGAGGCCATTGCAGTAAACCTGCGACTGCAGATTGGGCTCGATAACGGTTCCCTCCTCCACCAGAGCAGTCAACTTGGCAGTGGTCTCCGACAGACAGCTCTCCAGACCAGCCAGGCAGGCAATGTTGATCAACACGTTGCGGGTGAACTTCACCAGATGCTGTTCACCATTCAGATCGTTAACTCCGAACTTATCGTACTGCAAGCTAACCAGTTGACGAACGTAGAACTGGAAGTTGGCATAATCCGCATCACCGCTCAGGTATCGGTTAAACAAAGTGATCACCGTGTTGGCAGCGGACCAGGGGGAGTACTGATCCTCCTGGGGCAAATAGGTCAGGAGCTGCAGCAAAGTGGAATGGGCCACACGTCCACTGGTAGCGAAACGGTACAGATCATTGATAAGCTGGGCACGGTTCCTGGGATCGATCTTGTGTGGACGAGAGAGAAGGGCATCGATGACCAATTGATAGTTAGCGTTATCATACAGAACGCGGTAGTAACCGGTGGACTTTTTGTTCAGAATTAGCCAGTTGGCTTCGTCCAAGTCGGCGTAGATGGTCAGCTCAGATGTGTTCAGCAGGTAGTGAGTGGCCTCCGTGTTACGGAAATCGGGATTTGAGTAATCGGCATAGTTGATGGGCACATACCACAACTTGTCATTGGTGTAGTCCTTGTCGTTTGTATAAACCGACTGCTTAACAGTGAAGCTTCCGTTACTGTAATCACGGGTCACGGTCAACAGAGGTACTCCTCCCTGGTTTGTCCAGCTGCCCATCATGTTGGCAACGGTAGCAGGAACAGCGTAGTTCTCTTCCACGGCAGCCTTGGCAATGGCTTCAAAGAGCTTGGTGGGATTGGCAGCAGTAAATTGACTGTGGCAATTAAGAATATGCAATAAGTCAGGTTTTTGTTTTAGAGACAGTTAAAAAACTATACTTACTTGTCGACCAGATAGTTGTGCAGACCCCGCTGGAAGACGGTGTTGGTCAGGGCATGACGCCACATGTCCAGAACGGATCCTGCCTTAGCATATGAAACAGAGTCATACAGCAGAGCAATTTCTGAAGGCTTCTGGACGAAGTGGCTCATAGGGCGAGCACTGGCGCTGGCATCGTAAACCAATGCGCTCTGGTAGGAACCGGCATGGAAGGTCTGGAAAATATCCCACTCGGGATAGGCCTGTAAAACAAAATTTAGTTAAGTGTCACGTCACCCATTAGTCACCGTAGTATAAACTTACCAAATCCACAGCCAAATTCTCAAAGAGTGTTGCAAAACCTTCCTTGAGCCACAAGAAAGTCCACCATTCGATAGCTACCAGGTCACCGAACCACATATGGGCATCTTCGTGGGCCTCAATGGTGGCAATGTTGGTCTGAGTGCTGATGGTCGAGTTTTCAGGGTTGTACAAAAGGTACTCCTCACGGTAGGTGGCCAGTCCCCAGTTCTCCATAGCACCGGCAGCAAAATCAGGAATACCAGCCTGATCCAACTTGGGCAAGGCGAATGGAACTCCAAAGTAGCCAGACAAACGCTTCTCCACCAACATTCCGGTGGTCAGAGCCCATTCCTGGTCATTTTCGGTTCCTTTGCGAGAGAAGACGCGCTGCGGCAGGCCATTTAATTCACCCTCCGAGTAGACAAACTCGGAGACGATGAAGGCAACCAGATAGGAGGGCATGTTCACGGTCTTCTGGAAGGAAGTAATTCCAGAGCTGCAATAAAAATACAATTTAATTTCAGTCATAATTCATTTTTTTTATCTATATCCTAACCATATTTGTCAATAATTAATAACTTCTGTGAAGTAATAACCTTAAAAATGTCAAATTTAGCATTTAATAACAGCTATTAAACGTCCTATAATATAAGTTTATTGACAGACATTCTTTCGGTTTTGGCTTATCATAATAATCTAAAGTCAAAGTTGCCGTTGCATAGATGTATGTATGTAGACCACTAAAGCTAAAAATTAGGTAAGGAATCTATAAATTCACCCAAAATAAAACCCATTTAAAAATCCAAAGATAAAAAGGAATTTAGGTAAGAAATAATACCCATTAGAATACCAACCTGGAGGTAGTCTCGTTCACAGGCATGTTGCTGATAGCATTATAGCTGGGATCGTGGTTGATGGTGATGGTGAACGTGGCCCTCTTAGAGGGTTCATCGTAGCACGGGAAGGCGTGACGGGCATCGGTACTCTCGAACTGGGTGGTGGCCAGGAATTTGGTATTACCCTCCTCATCCGTGAAGGTGGACAGGTAGAAGCCACCGTTGTCCGTGCGCAGATGTCCCTCGTATTTGATCGTCAGAATCCATGTGGTGTCGACAGGGAATGTAAGACCCTCCTTGCTTAAGCTGAGGAACTCGCGCTCAAATTCGTAAAATGTAGCCAAATCCTGAGCCACGGCTCCTGCCACTCCTTGTTGAATAATGCTGGCCGTAAAGTTTTCCAGTTGGCGGGCGTGCACTACAATAGTAGAGGTAGCGGTGACAACGTTCAGGGTAATGGCCACTGTGCCACTGAACGCGGTGTCCCCAGTGTGCACTTTGGTGGTCAATGTTATATCATAATCGGTGGGGATTGTATCGTTGGGCAGACGGTAGTTATCGTCATCGGCAAAGGGGACAACAGAGCGCAGATTGGGATTCTCGAGGTTTTGCAGCTGCTCGAAGGGTGGAAAACTGCGAACCACCGCCGCCTGGGTGGCGGAAATGGCCAAAACGAGGACCAAAAATAGGGACATGCCCCCGATCTGAACGCGACTCATGGCGAAAACGCGGCAAGACTAATTTTGCTAACTTCGTGCAGCCACTTTTAAGCGAGGCAGTTCATCTTATCTCGGAGACATAAAGATTACTCCAATCTTGTCGCTTAGAATGACCGTTACCTACTGCCTGGAGCTGTTTATAAACTACATTGGGTAGTAAATCAAGTATTCTACTACCCTTTGAAACCCATGAATTTGGATTTTTTTTGTGGTTGGTAACAATCACGTCTACGATAAAGGCTAATAAGTGTGCTGATAAGAGTCTCAAGTGGATGGACTGCCCTTGATCTGATATAGTTAACTGATCTAAATAGATTTCTAAATTCTTGACAAGGTCCCGATGTATCACCTATAAACTTTAAAACTTATTTAACGCCCCTCTTAGTTTAGTCAATGAAAAGAATGTCGGATGCTAATCAATTAGTGAAAACAACTATTAACTACCGAAAGTAACGCAAAAACTAAAAACACTTTCAGTAAAACTTGGGCGCTGGAACCCTTACTTATCTGATCTACTGATATGAATGTGAAGTATACACGCCTAGTTACCTTCTAGTATAATAGCCTCTTCAATTGCTGCTCTTGAGATAAAGACCAGACCATTAATCCGGTCATTACTAAGCAACAATTCACATGCTATGTAACCACCATAGATTATTCGTATAAAACAATGGTAGGCTTGGGTAAAGCCCTACAAATTGATTAAGAAATCATTCAATGGGAATAAAAGCACAAAAAAGGCTTTTGATCTTGAAGGTTCCAGATCTAAACCTAGTAGGAGCACGTGAACTCCATAAACCACTCGGGCTATTGTAAATATCCACTTGATAATCGAATTTCGGTTCAATGCGCAACTATCAATACTTTATCGACAATACTGCCATTCCCAGAATCGCGATAAGATTGACCAAACCCATCAATTCACAATCCGATCTATGAAACTTTGAACTTCCCCCACCAGGGGACTCCATCAGCCCATTATCAATATCAATTCTATTTGGCCTCCGATTAAGATACAATCTTTAATGTTGATTCATTTTATTTTACTGAATTTATGTTTAATACTTGACCACATGACATTAACCTAAAATAGCTTGGAAAGCAGGAGGGCCATCGCACTGACCAGGATCATGCTGATGGATGAAGTCAATGCGGGACTGCTGCTCTCCTTGAAAGAGTCGGCGATCCAATTGAGCACTGGATCACGGTTCACATCCAACCAATCGAAGTTGGCTGTAATTCTAGAGTCAATGGTGGTGCTCAGATCATCGTTGAGATAATCAGGACCATCTGCCTTCACAACATCCACCAGGGCGTTGAGCTATTAAATTATTAATTGGTTAGTTTGATCTTTATTCCGAAAGTAATCAGAAAGTATTAAGAACTTACCCTTGTCTTCTGCTTCTCACTGACCACATAGGTGGCAATACCACGCAGGGCCGTATCGAGGGGCTTTGCAGTCTCCGAAAGCTTGGCATAGTTTTCCCAGTTGGTTTCCAGGAAATCCAAGCTGGCAGTTAGACCGATTTCACTTCGGGAATATGCAGCGTTAAGAAGGGAAGTACGCTCCGAGTAGCTCAAGCTGTTGGTGCTATCCAGGGAAAGCTGTAGGAATCCAATAAGCTGGCTATTAATTCCTGAGCAGCCCAACGATGAGACAAACAGACTGCGGTCAGTGGAATCCGTGGAGCTCAATAGATCTGATTTAACCCTTTCATATACATCATTGGTTGTGGATCGCAGACCAGCACAATAGGCCTGAGTTCTCAAAGTGGCCTCGATAGCAGTGCCGTTGTACAGATACTCGGAAAGCTTCTGGGCGGACTGGGTGTAGCAATCACTAGTTCCCACCTGGCAGGCCAAGCTAACCAGGACAATACGCAGATAGTTGTGAAGATAATGCTCCCCGGGAATCTCGTTCACTCCGATCTTCTCGAAGATGGGATCGATCAGTTGCTTTACGAATGCCTGGAAGTTGTAGTAGGAATCATCACCACGCAAATAACGATCGTACACGGTTAGAATTGTGTTGGCCGTAGACCAGGGTGCGTACTGCTCCTCATTGTTCAGATAGCTGAGCAGGCTGAACAGGATACTGTGGCTCAAACGGTCGGTGTTCACAAAGATGTACGTATCGTACAAGAGTTGGGCTCTATTGCGTGGATGGATATCCCAGGGCCTTGACTTCAAAACTGCAGTGACAAGTTCATAGTTCTGTGTATCGTACAGAGTGCGATAGTAGCCGCTATTCTGTATGTTAGCAAGGATCCATTCAGTGCTGGTAGCTTGGATATCCGTGATCACGGTCTCTGTCACATTTAGCAAGTAATGCGTGGCACTCGTGTTGCGATAGTCGGGCTTGGATGCAGTGGCAAAGTTGACGGGCACATACCAAGTTGCCACATTAGCATCATTTTTGTCCGCCACATAGCGTTTCTGGGTGATAGTCACGGTGCCTGTATCGTAGTTACGGGTCACGGTGAGCAGAGGATAACCGGCCTGGTGGGACCAACTGCTGAAGATGTTGTCCACAGATGTGGGCAGCGTCAGGCCCAATTCGTTGGCCGCCTCCTGGAATGAAGCAAACAGATCCCATTCATCGCAGGAAGTGTATTTGCTGAAAGGAAAAAGATCATTAGAAATATTTTAGCAAATTATATATCAGAATTAAAACTGCCTTGATTGTGTCTAAAAAGTATGCTATAATTTTTGTATTTGCTACTCACTTCTTGGTCAGGTATTTGTTCAATCCCGAACGGAAAACCTTGTCCGACCAGGCATTCTTGAACATGTAAAGAACACTGGCGGGCTTGGCGTATGAGAAGGTGTTGTATCGGTTAGAGATCTCATTGGGTGTCTGGACGTAGTGCGTCATGGGAACGGCCGTGGCCAGGGCATCGTTCAGCAGGGCGCTGTTATAATCGTTCACATGGTAGATCTGATAGGTGTTCCACTCGGGGAAGGCGATGTCGTTCGATTCATAAGAGAAAAGGGTAGCAAATCCTTCCTTCAGCCAGAGATAGGTCCACCATTTCACAGAAACCAGATCGCCGAACCACATGTGCGCGTATTCGTGTCCAATAATATTGGCAATGTTGGTCTTCAGATTGATCGTTGAGTTTTCCTTGTTCCACCACATGTACTGCTCACGGTAGGTGGCCAGACCCCAGTTCTCCATGGCTCCGGCAGAAAAGTCTGGAATACCAGCCTGATCCAGTTTGGGCAGGGCGAAAGGAACTCCAAAGTAGCCGGCGAGACTGGACTCCACAACCAAACCAGACCAAAGAGCCCATTCCTGCTGATCCTGCTTTCCCTTGCGCGAGAAAACCCTTTGACGCAGACCATTAAGTTCTCCGGTGGTAGATTCAAAATCGGACACGATGAAGGCCACCAGGTAAGTGGACATCTTAGGTGTGGTCTCGAAGCCGGTAACTCCAGAGCTAAAAGGGAGATTAATTTGAAATAACGAGTTAACACTTTAGAAGATATTGATGTATGAAATAAAATCTTTTTTTATATGCTGATATTAAGAAAGATTTTTAATATTGTCAACGCTGCGTATGAGTAATTAGTTTAATAAACGCGTAATTGCATTTAGATAATACTAACCTGGTGATAGAGTCATTCACGGGCATATTGCTGATGGCAGTATAGGAAGGATCATGGTGGATAGTGATGGTAAAGTTGGCTCTGCGAGCAGGTTCATCGTAACAGGGAAAGGCATGACGGGCGTTGGTGCTCTCGAACTGAGTGGTGGCCAAATAGCTAAAGAAAGATTATAATACTCATTATTTGGATGTCACATGCCCCCGCACTAATATTCGATTAGTAAGATAAGCCAGAATGTGGCTTCTGATATGAAATCAAACGGGCAGAAAGGAATCCGTCAAGTACAATCGTTATTGATAGTTTGATTAGCACTAGCACATTGGGTTCATAGTTCCTTAATTCAAGTTGATTAAGTTGAACTAACAAAATATTAATTGTTATGCTCAAAATTAAGTTAGTTTTTATGGGATTCAAAAGGAGTCAAACTTATTAATCTTTTTTGATCAGTATATCCGAAGAATCTACTTACTGTATCTGGCCATCATCATCTGTATAGCTGGAGATATAGAATCCACCCATATCAGATCGGTGTGTGCCATTGTAGTTGATTGTGAGAGTCCAATTGGTGTTAGCAGCAAAGGAATATGTGGTGTCCGTCGGCGTGAGGGAGAGGAATTCGCGCTGAAGTTCGGGGACAACAGTTAGAGGAATGGCAGTGGGCGTAGCCACATCCCTGCTGATAATCGATGCTTCGAAATTCGATGTCTGACGGTAGTGGAGCTTGATTTCCGTGGACACTTCCAGCACACGGAGATCGATTTTCACTGTGCCATTGAATTGAGTATCGCCGGAATGGACATTAGTCCAGAGTTCCACATTATAGGACTCTGGTTCCGTATTATTCGGCAGTCGATAGTTGTCAGCACTGTTGTCATCCACACGGGGAGTAGCAAAGAAGGTAGCTCCCTTGGTCTCCAACTGACCATCGTCCAGGGACAACTGAGGGATCAGGCGCGCCTGCAGACTACCCACTGCCAGAAGCAGCAGCAGGACACAGGAATTCAGCAACCACCGTGCCATGTTGGTTGCTCCAGAAAAAGGCACTTGGTTATTGAGGGGCCGCCGCTTGGCCACGGCTTATTTATGGACTAGTCCGTATCTAATCCTCAATGCCTCGATTGCCATAAAGATTGTTGCGCAATACTCGATAAAACCGGCAAAGCCCCAGTTATTGGCCAAGAGTGCACTGGGCCAAGCTAAACGTGAAGTATAATTAAACAGTAAAACCGTTCAGATATCGGCTAGTCTGCACACTCTAGCAAGCTCTTAAGTCGGTGCTCAAATACTATGTATTAAGTAAAGGTGATCTCAGGTCGGGGGAAAAAAGTACCAGATTCTTAAGTACCCTTCCTAAAAACTATTATAATGATTCAGTAGCGTAGTACTTATCAAATTTACCAGGATAACAAATGAGTTTTTTATTATCAATCTAATTCGTGTTATTAGCTTTTAGGCCAAAGCACAATTACGCAGTAAATTTTCAAGTAATTGCTTTGTCTGGAAATTGTAAGAGTTTTAAGGCACCGGTAAAAATGCAAGTTGTTATGGCTATATTATCATCAATATTATCAAAACAGTTATAAAAATTCGTGATCAACGATTAAAAATGTGAATTTCATTGACGAGTCATTGTAGTTAAAAAAAATTTGAGAAGGTCACCACTAGACATGTTCTAAGATTCAAAGTCTCTAAATCGATTTTTACCTTATTTTAATATTCTCTAATTTATCGATTTATTCTTCATAAATTCCAACCAAAGTTGATTTACAGTTCCTTTGAAAAGCCCAAAAATACTTCATATCAAAGTTTTGCTTATAAATATAGGCTGTAGATCAGATGACCATTTATTGCCAATGACTATTGAGTTTTTGACTGGCTTATCGATTCCCCACAGACCCGTCTAAGCCAAAGCGATATCTCTTATCGTTCATTCAAACAGTGGTGAAAAGCTCTGAACTATTGACTACACTCGATTGTGTTGGTTTTCTTTAAAAATTAATTTATTTGTAATTAAGCTTGTACTTATGTAGTCTCTTTTAGAAACCAGAGTGATCACCTATACAAATCGGCTATTTGTAACGCAGATCGCAACATTCGAGTTGCCTCATTCAGGATTCCCTGGGATCGGCTTGATCCGTTTGTCGCACCGAGGGAGGCGGCCAAAATAGCATCACTTTTACTGGACGACTGAGGAAACTCCCCAAGCAGCCAATCGTGTATCTGCTGCTCGAACTTATCCTGGAATGTTTCGGTGATCTTCACCTTTTTGCCAACCAGTGGTGAATCGGGCTCGATCAGCTCCGTATTTGGAGTAATACCTTCCATCTTTATATGAGTAGCAATGGTCTGGCGTAATCTCAAAAACTAAAATAAAAAAAATATGTTTTTATTAGAATATGTTTTATCAGAAATAATAATTTTACTCACATGTGGCCTCTGATGGCGAGGTACAAATCCAGCAAGCTGTTTAAGATGCTCAAAGAAGTTCGGTGATCGGCAGAGCATCCTGTAGTTGCGTTCGATATACTGCCAGATGACCGGTCTTGATGCCAGATTTGATTTGTAAACGTAAAGAAGATACATCATATCGTTCTCGGAAAGCATAATGTGCGTGGAGTTCTTGCTCAGCAGGACTTCCATATAGTATAATAGATGGCGATGACTTTGCGTGCACCGGAGGGCATATATTATGTCTTCATAGTACATCGATTCCCGATCTGCCTCTTGCAGCAACTCGATGACTCTATGGAAGTCGTGATCGCTAAGGTAACGCACTCCCAGACATAAAACCGTATCCCCTGTGCCATAGTATTCCGATTCCGTTGTTAGATTCGTTTTATTGATGATATACTCCATGGCCAGGTTGCGTGTGTATTCCAGGCACTCTGGCAGATCCGCTGAGCAGGCCAAATTAAGGATTCCATTGGCCGTATCCAGGGGAGTATTTGAAGTCTGATCCAAGTAGACGCCCTTAAAAATGGGACTGACCAGGTGACGTACGAACTCGTTGAAAAGCCTCTGAGAGGATGTTCCATATAGATTTTTACTTAAGCAACCGATGGAATCTGCTACTTGGTTCCAGGTCAGTATATCCTCCTCGAACTCAAGATATTTTAGCATTTCAAACACCACATCCACCTGCTCGATTTCATTGTGTTCGATGAGGGGTTTAAGGTGCCGGAAGAGACCGGCACGATTGGTTTTATGGATGACCGAATGATTGGTCTGCAGCTGCCTGGCAATGGCCATTAGATTATCCGTATCGTAATGGACGAGATAGAAGCCCGTCTCTTGTTTGTTCAATATTATCCAATCCTTGCCACTAAGCTCCATATTCAGATCTTCCAGTGCCACGGTGTATTCAGTTTGCGGCGGCATGAATATTTCCGCTTGAGTGTCATCGAATGTTGGTGACTTGGCAGTGGCAAAGTTGATTGGTATCCACCAGAGTTCATCCTTATGGTGAACCGAACGCTGGCTAAAGGTTATAGTGTTGTTCTCATAATTCCTCGTCACCATTACAATGGGCATCCATTCGCTGTGTGTCCAGGAGAGCATGATCTCCCTTATCTTAGATGCCCACGGCTGGTGGCTGAAGTACTCATCCTCCTGGAGCTCTGCTTGCAGTGCATCGAATAGATTCAGCTCGTTGGCCACACTGTAACGACTGGGCGAAAGAGCAGACGACCTTGACCCATGAATTCCAATTGGCCAGTTCGAGGTGACAGTCTCTAAAACTTACTATTTTTCCAGAAAATGGGTTATGCCACGCACGAATAGTTTCTGCCGGAATGCATGGTGGAACATCTTGATCACGCATGCTCCACGCTTATAGGAAATGATGTCGAAAACATTAATGATATCCTTGTCACCCTCCACATAATGGGACATTGGACGGACGTCATTGAAGCTGTTATAGCTGTAGGCACTATCAGCCTCATGTTCCATAAACACCTCCATCATGTTTTGTTTGGGGTAAAGCTAAAAGGAAAAAAGTTAATCAGTTTAAAGGGATTATATTGATATATCTTTAAATTTACTTACCAAATCAGTGATCACATAGCTAAAGTATGTGGCAAATCCCTCGTTCATCCAGGTGTATGTCCACCACTCCGGCGAAACCAAATTCCCGAACCACTGGTGAGCGATCTCATGGTTCTGCGTAATCTTGTCCGACATCGGATGGCGCAAGTCCTTTAAACCGTTCTGCAGCAAATTGCTGTCCTTGTAAGTGATCAAACCCCAATTCTCCATGGCAGCTCCATAGTTTTTCTTCAAGGCCACGTGATCCAATTTTGGCAAGGAATAGGAAATACCAAAGTAATCCTCAAAAGCAGCCACCGTTCTGACTGCATTTCTCAGGGCATTGTAACCCTTTTCTTTGGTAGTTGGCGGGGAGTATATACTTTGAGTGACCCCTCGATAGGTCTCAGTAATGCTGTCAAAATCGGAGATTACAAATGCTACAAGGTACGAAGAAACTGGCGGTGTTGTATGAAACAAAGTGGTTTTTAAGTCTCTGCAAAAAAAACTAAAAGTTAATAACACTTTTAAAACGTTAAAGTTATTAACTTACCCATGAGAGAGTATTTCCTTGACTGGCATATTGGATATAGCCGAATGGCTGCTGCCGTGTGTTATCCTTATACTAAAGTTCGACTTGAAACCCGGCTCATCGTAGCAGGGAAAGATTAGGCGAGCATATGTTGGTTCCGATTGCGTGGCTGCTATGTATCTGCAAGATTTGAATATGTGGGTCAATAGGTCTCAATGCGAAAAATAATCACAATTTATATGAAAAAAATCCCACATAAAAAAATCCAACGATAGATTACAACTTGTTGCCAAGTGTATTTGACGTCTTCGGCCTGTCTATTCTTTATAATTAAACAAGATCATTGCGGTCCGAAAATTCCCAGTCCCATTTTCAGATCACTGAACGCTAAACAAATAAAAACCAGTCCCAGCCTGCGGCTGCCAGAATGATCAATCACACAGAGAACGTGCTCTCACTCCCACGGAACAGTCGAGTCTCGTTATTCCCAAAACCCAGAAAAGAAAATCATGGGTCATGCGAATATGTTGCTCAATCGTAATCAAAACAAATCGGTGGTGGTACGCTATCGTATCAAACACTGTCCGCTTTTGTTGTCGTTTCACTATCTACCGGGGGAACTGATAAGGTGCGACTCCTAATTGGTGACACAGTCATTCCCCTTTATGAAGAATCCCCCCCATTGAGAAATCCCAATGTTTACATCGTCACCCTGATGACGCTACCGGATCAATCGATTTTGCCATATGCGATGGGCCATTTATATATGTATATGAGTTTATATATAAATCTGATAGCGATAATGTCCGAGAGAACTGTCTACGGCAGCAACGTAATTAAAAGGCAATGCCAAACAAATGAAATAATAATAACACAGTAAAAGTGAGAGCGTAGGCAATGTGAAGTGACCAAAACAAAGTGCACATGGAGTCTACGGCTGGATTATGTAAGATGAACTAACTTTTAATCTGGCTAAGCGCGTGCCTTTTATTATGTATTTCCCCAAGCAGACTGAGTGTATCTTAAAAGTTTAATAAATGTATTAGATACCTACTTTATTTTAGAGGTTATCGTGATTTATGATAAGCAGTAGCCGCTTTGTCATAAAAAAGAAAGATAGTCCAAAAATAACCTAGCATAGTACTCTAAAAAGTCTTACTGCCAGGCCCATTTTATCTATTACAATAAACTTTTTTTTAGATTTTACACCTATGAGCTACTGTTGCTAGCAAAGATAAAATACTCACACGGTCCTGTTATTTTCCTCATCCCTGTAATCCATGTAGTAAAGACCCGAGGGACGAGACGTCATAATGGCAGTGTACAGAATCTCTAGGCGATATAGTTGACCCTGTTCGAAGGCCTGGTAATTCTCTGTTGGGTGAATGATGAGATAAGATCCCGACTGATGGACTGTATGTGTAAGATCGTCGACGAGCTCTAATCCTATGTCCGTCACCCGGTGGACAGTAATCTGAATATCGGACAGGTTGTTGGCGTGCAGCACTATCTCGTTCGTCGACCGCCGGATGGCTACGTCAATGGTGGCATTTCCGCTGAAGAGTAGAGTGCCCATGTGAATATCACTGGATATGTGCAGTTGGTAGAACAGCGGATATGTTTCATTGGGCAGGCGCAAGGAGCGCTCCCTTTGGGTCACAGATCCATTGACCACCAAGGCCAGGGTCACCAGCAAAGCACCCGAAACCACCAATCCAGACAACGGCGGCGTGATCATGGTGATACCGAAAAAAAACGCGTATCGGATCGAAAACTGTATCTGTTCGCGCCCTGGCAACCGCAACTCAACTGAGCGACAACGACGAGCACTCCCTTGGTTATAACTAAAGCCTCCAGCCGATAAGATAAGCCTGAGACGGCTGATCGATGGGCATTCGTATAAGAGAATATAGAGGTATATATACTTTTACTCGAATGTGGACAAACCACTCGATTCCGTTGGTGAGTGAGTCGGCCACTCCAGGGAGCGGCATTGAGCAGGTCACGGTGCAGTCCTTGGCACACTAACAAAACGCACACCCTCGATGCGGGCTTTCCACCGGACTCTTTTCCCATAACAGGTGGCTGTGCGCAACCCTTGGGGTATATTCATACATTTTTGGGAAACTGTTGTCTTGGAAAGAGTAAGCATTGTCAACCCTTAAGTGCACGATCAACAACCGGTTTCTAGTTTACTCGCACATTACTCTTTTTATTGCCAATATAAAACTCTCAAAGTGTTTATTACAAAAAACTTAAATTGTAGCTATTTTTCATTACATTAAAATGCCATAATCATTTATTGATTTATTTTGTCTTGCATAATTTCTGATTAAGCGTGATCTGTGTTTTTATTTTTAATTTAAATTATGCAAGCGCCTTAGATCAGCTCATACTATCAACGTAATCAGAACATTCATTCATGAAAAAAATATTGATTTATATCTTTACCTTTGTGCTTACGCATATTTCCAAACAATAATATGTTTGGACTCATAAAAAATAAACAGAAACAATTAGACGGTATCTGGTAGTCAGAATGACACTGAGCTATTAGTCACTCTTTTCTGTGCCTCTTCACTTCGTTCTCGCAAAATCGAGATCGTTTATTATATATATATGGAGCAAACTGACAGCCGAATGCCTCAGTTGAAGCTAAACTTTGGCAGCGAGAAGATGTCAATGATGATTCATACGATCTTCCGTTTAAGCCTTCTGTTGATTTTCCTGGGCTATGTGGCTCCATACCAGAGTACAAACCAATGTCAGCCAAATTGGGGATATGTAAGTTATCAAATTATAAACCTTAAGAATTTCTAATTTAATTATCATTTAAATTCTAGTGTCAAATGCATACGGATTGCTGCTCGAGAAAGTGCATGACCTATAGCTTATATTGTGCACCTAACGCGCCTCATTTTAATCCCATTAAACTTTATACAGTTTCGAACTCAATCTTCGAAGCGAATACCAAAGCTGTCAAAGTTAAAGATGAACAAGATGTTGTAGTTAGCGTGAAGGAAAAGGTGACTCCAACCTGTAATCAAACCGGTGGACCTGTAAGATCTTTTCTCCTCAATAATTTGGCCTACTTTATCTCAGGACTTACATTTTTTTTCAGTGCTCCCGGGCTGAAGACTGCTGCAATTTCCGATGTCATACTTATATTCACAGGTGTGTCACTTAAAGGGAAATTCACAGTAATGTGGAAACGTGACAGCCACTTAATTACCGAATGAAATACATATTCAGAGCAATGCGCATTTTTGGGAAACTTTTGTCTTGGAAATGAATAACATGGTTAACCCTTAGTTGCACGATCAACAACCGGTTTCCTATTTACCTTTTCATTACACTTTTTATTGCTAAAATAAAACTCTCGATTTGTTCTTTATTACAAATAATTTAAATAGTAGCAATTTTGCATTTCCTTAATCATTTATTGATTTATTTTGTCTTGCATAATTTCTGATTAAGCACGATCTGCGTATTTATTATTGATTTACATTGTTCAATAACCTTAGATCACCTCATAGTTTCAATGTAATCAGAACAATCACTCATAAATAAAATATTGATTTATATCTTAACCTTTGTGCTTATGCATATTCCCAAACAATAATAAGTTTGGACTCAAATAAACTCAACAGAAACAAAAATAAGTAAACTAGAAAAGTAATTAGAATGTTCGTTTGTTATATAAATGAAGCCATTTGACAGCCGAATATCTCAGTTGAAGCTAAACTTTGGCAGCGAGAAGATCTCAATGATGATTCATACGATCTTCCGTTTGAGTCTTTTGTTGATTTTCCTGGGCTATGTGGCTGCCTACTACAGTTCAAGTCAATGTTCGCCAAATGGGGGATATGTAAGTTATCAAATTATAAACCCAAGAAATGTCCAATTTATTTTAATTAATAAATCGTAGTGTCAATTGCATACGGATTGCTGCTCGAGAAAGTGCATGACCTATGGTTTATATTGTGCAGCTAAAGCGGACTCTTACGATCCTATTAAAATATCTAGAATTGATAATATCTTTGAATATCTTCAAAATAAAAAGAAATATGCATGATGGCCGCAGCTTGCCATCAAACCGGTGGACTTGTAAGTGGTTTTTTCTTTAATAACCTTTACATTCGGATTTATATGTTTTTTTTCAGTGTTCTAGGGCTGAAGACTGCAATTTCCGAAGTCAAACTTACTATTCATAGGTGTGTCACTTAGAAAAAATTCAGAAAAATGTAGAAACATGGCAGCCAGTTAATTACCAAATAAAATACATATTCAGAGGAAGCCTACATTTTGTTACCAGAAACATCTTCAAAACTCGTAATCATCTATCTAAAAATGTTGGCAAAAGTTCCCCATAAAACTATCAGAAGAATTAATAGTTTTTAGTTGGTTGTTTTATCAAACGGTCCCTTACATAAAAGCAAGTTTTTTGCCATTTAGAAAGCTTGAATTATCGCTAATAAAAAAAAGTTAAGCAAACAATTAAATACTGGCTGGTATGGTAAAACTGGTACTGCCACTGTTCCCTTTCAATTTGATAACAAAAATGCGGGTTTTATTGAAATGGAAAAAATACACAGCAAAACGAATTGATAATGTTGTTTTTTCTTTATTATCATTTATAAAAGTAAAGAGCTTATCCAAGTCATGAAGCACTTCCACTTACACAAGTTTTTGCGAAGTTGGAGTTCTGAGAAAAATGTAAAAAATCCGTTAAAATAACCTTAACCTACTTAATTCAATAATAAGAAAGTCAGGCATAGGTCATATTTAGCTAGCATATCTACATCTATATCTTTTTCTGATATCATCGACATTAAATATTGACAGCGCCAACTCCCAATTATCTCGAGCGTCTTGACACAAATGTAGCCCAACTTCTTGACTTGGGCAAACAGACGAGCATGTCCAACAAGCCCGAAGCTGTGCAATTAATAGTTGGGTCAGAGAGACCATAATTGTCTTTAAAAGCCACGTTCTGATCAACTTTGGCCTTTAGTTCATTTGAAGATAGAAACCGCTTTGGCAGTCATAATGCTGGCAATTTTATTGGTGCTTCTAGTGCTTGCAGTAAGAGAAGTTCAGGATTTTAGTATTTTGAAAAATGATATACTAAAAAAACTTTTAAATTTCTTCAAAATTCAGATCATTTTGTTTAAAAAAAGTTCTTGTTCATTTACTTAGACCCAAATACAAGCCCAACCCGTTGTCAAGGACTTTTCTTCTCCGAAGGATTCGAAATTACCGCTCATATCCAAGCCACCGATGCAGCAGCAACTGAATCCTCTCAACCAGGATGAAGTTACCATGTTCACCAATATGTTCCTTACACTGTTCCGTGGAGTAGCCGACTATCGAAATATGGTGGCCGCCGATTCTGTCCAGAGTGTTTGGCAGAGTCCGCCGGTTGTGGACTTCAGCCACCGTCTCTTTGCCACCTAGAAGTATTTTTATTCAATTAAAAACTGTCTCCTAACAAACTGTAATTACATTGCTGACTAAACTAATCTGATTATTATTTCGAAGAACTATTATCTCCTAAACTATCCATCTCCTAAAAGTATTCATTATTAATTTATTTAAAAAACCTTTTTGCGCATGTTTGATTTTGAATTATCAAAAATAATTATTATAGAAATTTAGAAACATCACAAGTGTAGGGCTATAAAATATATGAATTTTAATAAATTAGCTAAAAAAAAAGGCCGCAAAGGGGTATATAATGCCTTCCAAATGCGATTAGCTTCAGTTCAGTTTCAACTTTACCACCGATAAGATGTTGATCCTCCGACTTGTTTTCGGCATTCTCGCCTTGGCCGTTGCCGCTCAAGCCCGCGGTTGTGACAACAATGGCGAATTTGTAAGTTTTCTTAAAAGATAATTATAATAAATAAGTAATACATTTCAATTCAAAACACAGTGCCGAACCCGTACCGAATGCTGCTCACTGTTTTGTGATACCAAGGTCAACAAATGCCGTGACAATTAACTTCTAACATAATTTTACAGAAATGTCAAACATTAAATGTTTATTAATAAAATAAAAACGAACATTTAATAAAGTGTGTAAAACATTTACATTTAGAACACGCAAACTTCCCACCACCTTTTTTAAATACAAGTGACATTCACTTACCTCAGTCTAAATTGCCAACAGCTTATACACCTCAAAAACACTATATGAACTGACTGTCATTATACGGTAAGGCACCAAAATCAAAATAAAAAACGATTATGATTATCCTTTACGTGCATATGTAGGAGGCCTTTCGACAACACCAATCTACGATCTTTCCTTTGAAGCCAACGTCCCTCACTAAAGTTAAATATTCAATACCTGACAGCCAACCCATTTAAAATACTTACTCACTGCCAAGACACCCCTCAAAAACCAGTAGTTAACAAAATAGATCTATGCGGAAATATCGGTCTCAGAATTAACCCCCTAAACGCAGCTTTGCAGATACAAAAAAGGCAAAACATCTAAAGGTATTTTTCTGAGAGAGTTTTTATAATTCAATCAAGAGTTTAAGAATTACACCTTCATATAGCTGATGGATTACTATCCCAAGAAGTTATCGGCTTTCTTGTAACCACTAAATCGGCAATCCTTAAAATGGGTATCCTTCAAGCTCACTCTTCAGCTCTTACAGCCGAACCAGTAGCTGTACTCGACTCGTCTCAGAGGCAAAATATGGAAATGTACAGACTGTTTATCAGCTAAAATCTTTTTTGTTAATACAAAAACAACAAATCGGAACATTATTTATAATTTATTATTATTTTAATTTATTAAGAAACGTATGTTATGAGGCCTCTTATTGGCAGTGACAAAAGGTGGCGTTCATTTCTGCTAGAAGAATTATTAATATTATTTTAAAATTAGATCTTTGTCTTTTTTTTAAATAAAAAATAATAAATGATCGTTGTCAACAGTTAATGACCTAATCATTCACTTCCTCGTCTTGTAATAATTGCACGCGGCCCATTAACTGTCACGATTCTCATTTTTTAAATAAAGTTTTATTATGTGACTATCGCACTGCTGCACATGTCGCAACCTAATCTGATCGTTACAGATTTTATTTGATTAATATTTGATCCTTAGAATAATATTATACCTAAGTATTATAGGGAAAAGTATAGTAAATGATTTATATCTACAGTTCAGGCAGCCGTTCCAAGTTGCCTGGCTAAGCTGTTAGGTTGCACATTCAGACTTTTCCTGTATCTCTTAGAGATGACCTGGCAAAGTTAATTTATTGGTGCTTATAGTCCTTGCAATTAATATATATTATATTAAATACAATTCCAAACTCTAACATTTCATTTATCTCCTAAAAAAATCTTTTCACGCATATTTGTTGTTGATTTATCGCCATCAATTATTATAGAACTTATTCAACTTCACAAGTGTAGTGTTACGAAATATATGAATTTTAATAAATTAGCTAAAAAACGTGGCAAAGGGGTATATAATGCCTACCAAATGCCATTAGCTTCAGTTCAGTTTCAACTTTGCCACCGATAAGATGTTGATCCTCCGACTTGTTTTCGGCATTCTCGCCTTGGCCGTTGCCGCTCAAGCCCGTGGTTGTGACAACAATGGCGAATTCGTAAGTTTTCTCAATAGATATTAGTAATAAATAAGTAATAAATTTTAATTTAAATCACAGTGCCGAACCCGTACCGAGTGCTGCTCACTGTTTTGTGATACCAAGGTCAACAAATGCCGTGACAATTAACTTCTAACATAATTTTACAGAAATGTCAAACATTAAATGTTTATTAATAAAATAAAAGCAAACATTTAAAATGGTGTGTTTGAATATACATATACAATCACGTTCAGAAGACGCAAACTCTTAACAACAATTACCATAACATGAAAAAGCATTTAAAAAATTAGAATCCATATTTTCATTGACCAATTAAACTGCGGTTAAATGTATTATATTTATACGCCCACTCCAGCGCAAAGGAACTACTCCTATAAGAGCTAGATTGTATAAGTTTGGAAAGGACAGCGCATCTTAAGGTGATACCACTAAACGACCACCCAAACTTACTTGGGAAGCTTACCTACGAAATTATAAATACGAGCCTTAAACTTTGTGAAATTTTTAAATATTTGTTCTTTAGGCCTACGTTGATCACAGGAAGTACTTACTTTAGTAATTGTTAATTTACTTAGTCTCAAATTCAAACTCAGACCGTTGCTCCGTGGAGTAGCCGACAATTGAAATGTGGTGGGCGCCGATACTGTCCAGATTGTTTGGCAGAGTCCGCCGGTTGTAGACCTCAGCTACCGTCTCTGTTGTTATTCAATCGAAATCTGTTTTCCCCAAACAAACTGTAATTACATCGCTGACTAAACTAATTTTTTTTTTGATTTCGACAAAGAATGGTATATAAAGGAGTTCTACTTACGGTTGTTAGTTAATTCCTTACGATGAAGCTTAGTTCAATAATCACTATTGCCGTTTGGTTGTTTTTGGGAGTGGTCATTGCTGTGCCAACTCTTAAGATTCAGCCCAGACATATTCCCTATGGCATTGACGAATTTTCGCCATTTATAAGGCGAAATGCTAGCGATGTGCTGCCTATTTCTTTAAAGCTAACCCAAGTAAGCTATATTTTATGTTTGGCTTAATTTAATTTATCTGCTATTTTTCTTTCTAGATAGAACGAATGGTCTTGGCCGATAACTGTCTGCCGTTTCACAGCAAATGCACATTGGCAGAGCAATGCTGCAATTTAAAGTGCATGAAACGTGTTCTTCGATGCGTTATCTAAAAGTTATTCAAAATAAAATGAGAATATAATGTACTTAAAATGCAAATAAAAATTAAATTTATATTAAATTATTATTTATGATAACTATGTATGTATCATAAAATAAATTTCCCCTCTTTGGGAACATTAACATATATCCCCTAAAAGTATGCATTAAAGTCATTTTCTGCATATTTGCTTTCAATTTATCGCCCAAAAACCTCTCATCATTACGAGTGGAGTGCTTTGAAATATATAAATGTTAATATATTTACTAGAAAAACATGGCAAGGCTTAATATATTGCTTTACAAAAACCATTAGCGCCAGTTGAATTCTAACTTTGTCGGCGATAAGATGTTGATCATCCGACTTGGAGTTTTGTTTTGCATCTTTGCCCTTGCGGCTATGAGTGAAGCTGTGAGTACATCTGGAAGTACAGAAAGTACAGTAAGTACAGTTGTGACTACAACTGCGACTACCGTCCATGTTTGTCAGCCCAGAGGTGGTTATGTAAGTTTTCTATGATATATAAAATCGAAATCATAATCATACATTTTAATTTCAAATTCAGTGCCGGAGGCGCGACGATTGCTGCAAGTCAACGTGTAATCAAGTGGCTGCAGAATGTAATTAAGTTCCGTTCTTCGTTAAATTAATATCTTTCTACATAAACTACCATAGTTTATTTTACATTTTGAATAAATACTTTTAAAACTTTTAAATTTTTAATGACCCCTTCATCTACTTATTCATGCCTTCGTCTGGTAATAATTACAAATTACTCATGTCATTTTAACTGTCACGCTTTCCATAAATTAGTTGCGATTTGAGAGTTTGAGATAGTTTCAAACTTTCAGATTGCCTACTTTTGTGCTTATTTTAATCACACTGATTCTTCGTAACTCAAAAGGTTTTTTTGGTCCACTATTGAACCTTTGATTCCATTATCTGCTTAGTCATTCAGACGACTGGCAATAATAATGCAAAGCCATATCAACTGGCAGAGTGAAGTGAAGTGTTTGGCTGCTCTCACAATCAACTTACATCTGCTGTTAGTGTTTGTCAGCGTTTACCAGCAAACAATATTTCCGCCCGTAAACAATGCGACAAAGCGGCATCAATGTGAATTTTTCCACTCACAGACATTTTGCATTGACACGCGGTTGTAATGGGGTTTGAGGGTTTGGGATGAAAAGTGTCTCCGAGTGATCCTTTTCCCCCTTTTCAATTGCAAAACACACACAAAGCGCAGACAATGAGTTTAGACAGCGATTGTTTGGCTTTCTTGGCGTGTGCTAGCCGCTTCCTTTGTTGTTGTCACGTTCCGATTTCTTAGCTATATATGGTAGTATATATATTTGTATGTACGAGAGCTGCAGTTAGCTCAACAATGGCCGAAAAGACCCATTAAAATATGGCCAACTGTATACTTGAATTTTAGTATATTTTTTTATGGTCTCCCCTTAAAAGTATGCCACATAAAACTGCAGCATAGGTGACCCTTTTCACGCGTTTTTAAACGCCCATTAACCGCAATCTCCTGGTTTTATGTATGCTGGCTCCCCCTATCCAAAAATTGATTATTCTTATTTTTTTTGCAAACTTATTGTCTAGTTTGTTGGCGCACGTGCCAAAGCCGCTGGGATTTACATGGAAATCGCATTCATAGTTAAGTGTTTTTCTGGCTGCATCGAATATTCTGGGTAAACTAGGAATTTCTTCTGTTTTTTGTTCTTTTTGCATTTGAAATTCTTTGTTCGATTTGTTTTGCCAACATGCGGTTATTATTTGGCACTTACTGGCTCTCCCGTCTGGGTTCTTTTGCTCCTCCAGCGCAAAGGAAGACATCAAAAACTGCGGAACCGGAAGATATTCCCGGCATGCAGCACGCCCCCGAAAAATGGGTGGTATATATTGCTTCAACACACCCCTTCTCCGACGATAAGAGATGGTAGCTTGATGAAGTTTTGGCGGCAATGCCTGGCAGGAAATCACTTTCGGTACCCCCAACCTCATGCTCTCCCTGCCCAATAAAAAAAAAACCGAAGTACGAAGAAAATCGATTGCTTTTGGCCATCAGCGAATTCCATATGCAGATTCATTGGCCTAAAAGTATGCAATGCAGATGAAAGGAGGCCAATTTGTCATCTGTTTTTCATTGCAACAGCCAAACGTCTTTAAGCCCCGGCTTTGCTTTAATGGCTTTTGCCATTGGATTGTGTAATGTATGCAGGTGTGTTAAACTTTTACATTGCACGTGTCGGCAGACACTTAAATGTCGAATGAATAATTCCGCCTGCCACCGTCAGTCGGCGAAACTTTTATTGCTCTTGGCACACGAGCGAGTGGCAGGGACTGCTGAGTGCTAAGAAAAACACGGAACAGGTGCCGCAGGATTGCCAAATAACTTAAAGCAATTCGCATTCTGGCAGCTTCTTAATTGAAGTTCACAGCAAACTAAATGATGCCCACCAAAATCCCTCTTACCGGAAGTTCTTTGCAAAGAGTGCATTGCACCGCTTCTTGATGATGGAGTGGCGAACGTGGCGTATACGTGATGCGGACGATGGCCAACTAACTGAATGACTGACTAGCCAAACAGGCACACAGACTTATCAGTAACGACCTTTCCCTTTGCCTTTCACACACATAAATACAAACTCACTGGGAGTTGAAGGTTTATCAAAACGATATATAAAATATTCAAAAAGTTGCAAATTCAAGTCGATATTTTAATACTCTCTAAGGTATTTGAAGATAATCTGCCAAATATTATTAATATAAGGAGCCCAGAGGGTTGTAAAACATTAAAATTAATCATGAACTAATATAGTAACCCCCCAAAAATGATGTTATAAGCAAAAATGTCCTTTTCCGCACGAGAACTTTCTTACATTAGGGAAGTATTTAGAGCTTGAAAGGGATTTCTTTTTTGTAGGCATCACATATGTTTATATTTGCATTTGCGGCCGAGGCACAAAAACAGGGATTTCCAATGGGAAGGTGTGTGTGTCTGAGTTTGTGAGTCTGGCAGAGGCCATGAAATTGATTTTAAATGCGGCGCAGCAGTGGAGGGGCCACCGTGTCAAAGGACAGGCCAAACAGTCGGTAGCAATGATGATGATGACGATGATGATGAGAGACTGAAGCTGAGGATGAGGATGAAGATGAGCCACCGGTGTCGTTGTCCTCGGATAAAACCGCACGTATGACAAGTCGTTAGTGCCGACTTAACTGGCAAAAGGAAAAGCCACACGAGGAACAGCAGCAAATCAAAGCGAGTGTCCATCAGCATTACGGGACGCTCGTTCTTCCTCTATTTCTCCCTCTCCGTGAAACAGAATCCGCAGACTGTGCGGGAAAATGGAAAAGCGGAAAAGTGTCAACGCTTGTCAGGGCGGCGGCCATGGCCAAGCAGAGCCTGTTTGTGAGCAGCGGGCAAAACTCATTATATTTCTGCTTGCCGCTCTGTTTTTTTCCCATCTTATTTTTTTTATTTTCCAATTGAAAGCGCTGTGGCCCTTTAATGTTTGTTTCAGTTTCAGTTGCCGTTACTCTTTTAATCGCACACGCATATTTAAAAAAAATAAAAAAGTATATATAAAGCACTGTGTGCTACTGTCAGGCAAACGCTTTGATGTGTCAAGCGTTCGATATGGAGGCGGGGCAGCAGAAACCATAAACTCGGCACGAAATTAATAACAGTGGATGCGAAATTTGCATTCAAAGGCGGGCGGGCAGTGACAATGTAATCGGAGTATCACAGAACCGAGACCTGACCCCTACCCGGCTTTAAAACGACTTTTCCACCAGACTTTAGAGGTAGAGTACGTTCGCGACCATCCAAAATTTGCATTTATCGACAGGAGGGTGCGGCGGTAAACTCTCATTAAAATGTAATTGCCCATTAAAAGAGCGAGGCTGGTCGCTTGGCTCCTTGACTGGCTTGACTCCCTGATTTGTCCACTTTGCTGGTTTTTCGTTGGAGAATCGGGTTTTTGTCCATCGTCTCTTTGTTTCGAGTTGTTGCCGTTAATTGAATCGGCGAAATGACAAGCAAAGCGATTCCTTTTGTATGGCCACGGGCCGCTGGAGATGGCCACTTGGGCACTCGTTACGCATACGCTCCGTGGGCCACACAAAACATGCCCCATGGCAGTGACCGCACAACGGGACAAAGCATCCCGTCACTCTCTGCACATACAGAGAAAATAACTTCCCAAAAAATTGTCAGCAATTTGTATATCCTTCAGTATTAAAGTAATTTATATATAAAGGACGTAGCTTAGTGTAAAATATCTCCCTAAAAAGTGATAAAACTGAATGTTTTTTATAGAAATTTGTTAAATAATATTAAGTCTCTGTGCACCTACACACATGGTGCTCTTTGACATGCTCAGTTAACTCCATTTAAATCATTATCTTCAGTTTCATTATCATCGAGAAGTTTGCTCTTTGTTGTCAATATTTTTTCCCTTTTTTTGCATTTTAGTTTTGTGTTGTTGCCTTCTGGGGAGTCGGTGGCAAAGGCTTGACCCCAGAAGCAAAACAAAAAATGCAAAACACAAGTTTCCTTTTTAGTAGCAGTTTCCATTTTTGCCATTTCCATTTCACTTCGATGCTCTGATTCGATGTTTGCCTGCCTGACAGTTCGTTTTGGCCCACTTTTGGTTGTTAATTGTCCAGAGAATGGCAACTGAAAGCTGCAGAAAAAGTTTTATTGTGGAATTGATATCCTAAAGCTTGTTTAAGGTGCATGCCAAAAACTTTGCCATTTCCCTTTCGGCCTTCTTGTTTTGGCAATCAACTTTGGTTGCAAATAATTCATGAACTCACATCCAATGAGATGCAAACTTGGTATTCTATTGACACTTGTGTTATAAATATGTAAACCTAATTGCAACCGCAGAGCGCCTAAATCATTTTTCTATGTTTTTATTTTCAGGACGAATGCCACAAGTGGAACTCAACATGGTGTAAAAGGATTTCCTTGTACAAAACATAAGCCTAGCCATTGCATATTAAACATGCACACACACTCATAGCCACACGCGTACACAAAGTGCCACAAAAGCCAAGTTAAGTCCGTTGGAAAACCATTGCGCATACGCAATGTAGGTCGGTAGGTTTTTCGGCTGTCGCAGTGTGAGCTGCTGAATGTTTTAATGAAATTATCTGTTACACATTGGCCCCTAAAAACCCTGCTGTTTTCAGTTATTAATTCAATTTTTCCCAGCACCAACTCAATTTTGTGGCCACTTTTGTGGCCTCAGCTCACAAAATTCCCCACCGACTTGCTGCAGATAAAGTTAGATACGGATAGAAAAAAGTTATATTTTCTACGAAACGCTCTTACATTGTACCTATGTTTTGGGATTTGTTTTGCAATCTACTGCCTGCACTTATCGCAACTGCAGTTGCAACTCCACGGGTTGCCATGCAACGGCAGCCAATTAACTCCAAATCCCGGACATCACAGCAACTCAGTCGTGTGTTTGTGTGCGGCTTTGGCTGGCTGCCAGTTCTAATTACCCATCTGAGTTGTCTGATTTCCAAGAGATTTTTTAATTAACTAAGCTGCAAACCGCTGGCGAAGGTGTGCAAACACACGAAGCGAGGACACAGCTCGATTTCACTCGCAAATTGAGAGTGACACTAGCCTAAATTTAATCCCAGTCATGCAGGAAAATAATCTATAGGGGTAGGTTAAGGACATCGAGATGCTGGTTCACTTTTCCTTAGAAGCTATCACAAAAGTACCTAAATCCTTACAAAACATATCAAAGAAAGTTCTTAAAGCATATACACTTTTGGAAAGTTTTAAGTTTCACTTTTGAAGACAAAAACTTATATCAACCTATCTAACTTAAAAGACACACAACATCAAGTTTATATAATAAAATGTTCTCTAATTTAAACACATCAATTGAAAAATTCCAGCAATCAATCACCATCAAGCCGACGAGTTCCAAATTCTTGCCAAAAATAAACATTTATGGCTCTAACATTTTAGGCATATTTCTGCCTGAAAATATGTCGAATGTCAACTTAGAGTTCGCTGAAAATTCCACATTCATTTTGTTGCAACCACAACCGCACTAAGCACTATGAAAATGCAAATCGTTGGCACTCACATTTGGACATGCACGGCATTTAAATTGATGGAGAACATTCGAGAGGGGAATAAAATGCAGGACCGTTGTGCTGCGGTTGGCCATTTTCGAAGTGATTATCATAATCAACCATAAATGATCAAGTAATTCAATTCAAGAGGCCTTTTTAGGTCACTTCTCCTCATACCGTCCCTCGGCAGATTTAATTCTATTTTATTTTTGCGTTTTCTGAAAGCGACATCATTAATCACACAGGACACGGGACGGACATTCGTTCATTGTTGGGGAGATAACTGTCAAAAACTTTAATTATATTTTCAGCATGACAAGGACAAGGACAAGTTGGCCAATAGCAAAATAAAAAGTACGTGCCACAGGCGCCAATGAGGAAAAAGAAGAGGGAAAGAAAGAGCCTGGGCTGGGTGTAAACCCAATAAATGTATTTGCTCTGATTTGGTTTGGCTCTTCGGCTGCCTGGTCAGCTGAAATATTGTACTCAGCTGCGGCATTGACAGGTTGCTGCACCAACCAGTTGCTGCACTTCAATGAAATCAAATTGCCATTCAATTTGGACTGTCAGTGGAACGACCACCTATGCTCATGGGCTGCCCGGCCATTGTTATTTTTATTTCTGCAAATTGAAAGCACTCCGCTTAATCCCGACGCCTCGAAAGGCTGCTGGAAAACCAATCACCACTGAACATCAATTAAAAAAAAAGAGAAGAATAGCTTGAAAAAATAAAAAAGCGTAACGAGAGCAACCAATCTACTGGGATTTACTCCAGGCAGTCGGTTGCCTTTGGCAAGGAAAAAGTTCCGGAACCACCTAACTCCCTCAAACTGTGCCAATTCGCTGGAATATATAGGTCTGCACTGTAAGCTATTGTTATATGAAATATGCTTTTCACTCAAGAGGTTTACTGTGCAAAGTTTAAAGATTGAAAAATATTTCTCTATAATAACTTTTCAGTTAACTTTTATTATTAAAAAAACTTACTAAATATGTTTTTCATTTGATATCTCCAAGTGCATAATAACAAATATAAACCCTACCATACCATGAGTACCATTCCTAGGTACATATCAATAAAAATCAATTTAATCGAGATTAAGCCTGAGTATGGAAGAGCTGGCAGGCTGGCATTGATTGCATTTTAAGTTGCCGGTGCGTGTTTATCGCGGAAATCGCGTTCGGCTAACGAGCCTAACGAAGTTTTCAATGTAATTCAATTGCAGAGGGAAAAGGAAACAATGGCGATGCCATCATCGCCATAATTGGCCCGTCAATCTCGTGAGCTTCATTAGCCGTAACGGCTTAATGCGCACCAACCGGGCGTATGCGTAATTTTTGACACTACCACTGAAAGGCAGAGAGAGAGAGAGAGGAGAGAGAGCTAGAGGCGACAAACAGGGCAATTCAATTAGCAAAACGAACAGCAAAACGATGGCCCAAAGTTGAATCCCTATGGCCGATGTCCGATTCTCAATGTTCGATATTCGATGGTCAGGTTCATGGTCAAAAAAAAAAAAAATAGAAGTCAGTTGAGATGGGAGATTGAGCAGAAGCAGCTGGCATGTTGATTGAATTGCCAAGTTTGTTCGATGCGCGACAAATTCAATTCGTTCATTGGCACTCACACACACTCACATGGCCAGTATCTAGCAACCGGCTGCAGCATTCGAGAGGACCTTCTATCGGCTCTGTAAAAGGGGGGATGGGGTGGAACCCAAAAGGATGTTGCATCGGGCAGGTGCGAGTGTGCCGGTTAATTGCTTTGGAAATTGCATGTGACGAAACATATGGTTTATGTAAGGAGGATGTGGCCGTGACACGGCGCTATCTGCCTGGCTAATTGGATTATGGATAAGCCAATTTGAGCATGGGCTCGAAGTCTGCGACACCAACTGACTCAAAAGTACATCATAAGATTTTCCAATCAATGTCATAACTTTTTTAGAAGATATTTCGGGGCTGGTTTTTACTTAAGAAAGGAGGAGTTTAATCTAAAAGTTTGTTAATTTGGCTTTATTATGCTGTTAGCCACATCGGAAAGCTTAAAGAGAGGAATTCAAATTTCAAATTATTCAATTAGAAGCTAACATTGAGCTTCTTGCAGGAATTCTGAGAACCATTGCAGGTAAGTCTTTGTGTTTACTAGCCCCACGTTTAATTATAAATGCATTTAAATTGCATGTAATGCCTAGAAGCACTTTGCTTTAAGTTAACTAATATTGATTTAGCCATGTTGATTTTCTTACCACCTTCTCCCTTTAAACGCTTTTTTTGGGGTTCTAAGCAAAAAGTTTAAAACAAAAAAGTAATAAAAGAAAATCGGTATTGATTGCACATTTAATTTAAATAGAATTCATAAATCTAAGAAGGGGAAAACATAATCTAATTCTGTGTCATATATATTGTAGGATTTTAATCCCGCTTCCGGTGGGGATACTGAAATAAATGTCTATCCCTGGGCAGACCATATATCATCTGGCCAAGTTTCATTCATTCAGTCAGTGAGCAGTGCCAACGACAATGGCCCTATGTTTGTTTATGCCTCGTTAAACTTTTCAGCCGCACGCATAAAACATAAAGCGCTTTGCTAGGGCAGATCAATGCCTTATGTGCATAGTGGATGGGGTTGGTTGTGGGTGGATGGGCTTACTCTGAAATTGAATTATGGAACTCACACACCAACATATACACACATACATATGGAAGGCGACATATCGAGCGAGACGCCATGAAATACTATATCTGACTCTGAAGTCAGAGGAACTGCATGGCGGGATTTCGATGGCTTCGTCGTTTTACACTGCTAACGGTAGCAGTGCTATCGGTTCACTTCAAACACCTCCCTAACCCTCTATTAGAATCGACCTCCCTGTAGACACATACCCGCATCCCAGCCACCCCACCGTTCTATATTCATCCATCGAATGCAAAACGGCATCCTTACAAGCCGGGCCAGCCACATTGTTCGACTCTTTCATTTTCAGCTTCACATTTCTCTATCTGCCTCCCGCCTCCCCATCCACTGCTGCTGCTGCTGCCACTCCCCCTTGTGGCACCTTCGCCTCTATCGCGGTTTGTTGTTATTGTAAATTATAGCCGCAGCCGCAGAAAAATAACAGCAAATAAAAAAACCCAAAGCGGAGACTAGAGAAATAGAATGAGATGTGCTTGAACTGGGAGAAATTGCAAGAACTTTGACAGAACATTTTTTTTTATTTTTTAATCAAATAAAAACGAATTTCTAAAATTTTTTCCATATTACGAACATTTTTTCGCTTTCTTTAGCGCAAAATACTGACTTTTTGGCGTAAAATCATAAACTCGATGGTTAACCGATAATTTCATATTACTACCAGGGTTATTGTTATAAATTAGTCAAGAGACCGTTTTTTGAATCTAACGACGAAATCTAACGTTCCCTATCGTTCTCGGGCTGATTTAAGGATTTCTATTTTTAACCATTTTTCCCATTTTCAATATCATCTTTTTTTGCGAAAAATCCCCAAAGTTTCTCATTTTAAATTGTGAATGCATTTTGAATATGAATATAATTTCGCGTTTAACGAGGTATAACCATGTTCCATATTCGGAACATTATTGGCTTAGTTATCGGCATCTGAGATCTTGTGGAGAAAAGGTTACCAATTTTCCCATTTTCGATGAGGGCCTAAACATAATTTATTACGAAAAATTACCAAAATTTGACTTGAGTTTAAACTGTGAATGCAGTTCGAATTTAATTTCGTTTAACGGGTTTGACATTCGGACCAAATTCGGACCATTATTGGTATTTTTTTATCAGAGCAACTACAGTGAAACCATCAATAATTGCCCCTTAAAATAAAACCAATATATACAATTTTAAACTGTTCTAAACATCAGGCAGTTTCTAAACTCAAACTAGAATTGTTTTCAGTGGGATAGAGGGATGAGGTCTGCGGTCGACCAAAGAGGGGAAATGAGACCAACAACCTGTGTAGGAATCCTGGGCCTGGCATCCATCGGTTTATTGTTTCTGTTTCATTCCATTTTATTGTCGTATGTCATACAATGGCGTAACATTTACATTTCCCATTAAACTTTCCGCTATCAGTTGCCGCTGATGCTGTTTTTGTTGCTGCTCGTGTAAAGCTGAATGTCGTGCAATAAATTTAAAACGCCCGTACATATTCAAAACAAAAACAAAAAATATGTCTGCCCCAAGAAATCGCAAAAGTTCCTGCTGCATATTTCCGCTCGCTTAGACGCTGAAAAGTAAGCAATTGTCTACGAAAAAAAAACTCAAAACATAAGGACTAAACACTGGAAACAATTTTTTCCAGGCGACAAAAGGTTTGAGAAATGGAATATTGATTCAAATGCCAGAAACACAGGTGAATTGTTGAAAAAGGGGGCGGGAAGCAGGATCATTTCTGAGATGCAACAATTTGTCATTGAAATGCAAGCGCAGCGTAGAACTAACCGAAAAATAGTTAAACAGCTGCCGACGACACACACAGGAAGAAAAATAACCACGAAGGACGAAGGACGATGGCTACAAAGCCCGAAGTTTCAAACCCGAACCCGATCGAATATCGTATACGTGATTCGCACGACCAACAGTTGCTCCGCCTTGGCCGTGTATTGCTGTGTGGCTTTCTGTTGCTGTTTCTGTTCCTGGCCATGTTGCTCCTGCCTTTGGCCTCCATAATAGACACCGTCAGCCGCCGCAGTGTCACAGTCCATGCTCGTCCTTTGGGCTGCCAAGTCGCGTTTTCAATCGCTCGCTGGCCGCTCGCAAGTCGCTTTAAAAGTCGGTGACAAAAACGCGGTTTCGAGTGAAGAACTCTAACTAAAATAAAAACAAAATTAAAAACTAATATAAAACAAAGAAAATTACAAAAAATAACAATTAAAAGTTCAAGTTGAATGCAGGTGTTTGTGGTCAACTGTTGCTGTTGCTGGTAGCTGGGTGTTGAGGAAATCCAGTGCATGTAAGTCGATTGCAATTGAGATTTATTGTCCATGGAACACACACTTGCTATCACATACACACATTCAGTTGACAGCAGACACTCCGACGCACACCTGCCGAGATTGCGCCATCAATCTTGGCTATCAATTAGATCAATCATACGCCTCGTGCGCCCTACAGCCATGTGAAGTGCCTTATCGATTGGGAGTATGTGGAATATTGATTGGCAAAAATAAACACTCACCTGCCTACCCAGACAGTTGGTCCGCGTGGTGGCAAATACACACAATGGGCTAAAAATAATTGCCAACCACCAGCGACCAGCTGACTGGCGGTTCAGTAGAACAAAAAAAAATCATGTGAACCCCTTTCCAATCGGTGTTTAAGCCTCGAGATTAGGCCCTGCAAACGAACTGGAAAATAATTCTGTACTGACGGAAACTAAACCCACTTACAGATCAAGGTTATTCAGCAAAAGACGAATTTCCAATGAAATTTGGTCGCCTGACTTGCCAATCATTATTTAATCCTATATACGATACATTTCTAGGAAATATTGGCCTACATTCTTGGGGGTTCTTCACCTTTTTACCAACTGGAAAGGCTTCCTTCCGGTTTAATTATTTAAACGGCAATCATTTCACAATTGCTTTGTGTATAAAAATAGGCTGAAAAAAGGAGACTTTCTTATGCTCCATTATGCAATCAACGCATTATTGGAGAATTGCTAAATTTAAGTGGTATGTGATGGGTGTAATCAATGGATAAGCCTTCGGTTGGTCTTAGAATTTAACATTAGGTCTTCATACCAGAAGTCAATTTATGAAGTTTCCTTAAAAAGATATGTTAAAAAAAGAAATCGAAAGTTTCTAATTTTACCTGAAAGAAATACAAAAGAAATCGATTTCCTTTCAAAAACCATTCTCATATATTATAATGACAGTGATTTGGATTTATCTTGTTCTAAAGAATGGTCGTTGGTGTGAGTTATTAAGATATAGCTCGGAATATTGAATTTAAAATAAATTTTTACACCCAAGCAAATATTGTCAACCACCCCGATTTTTCTCCTTATAAAGTTGTTGTTTCACTTTAAAAACCCTTTAATATGTACTCCAAAAAGTACCACTTACCCCTCAAACTAAAATATTGAAAATGCAAAGGCACCTACCTATATTTGCTATTTGATATGCTCTCATTCTGATTTCTTAATGCTTTCATAAAAAATTAAGCCACTCGATAAAAAACCATCGCTAAGTCACACAAGGACCCGCTAAACAAAAAAAGAAAATTCCAATGAATTTTTTCAATATGTGGTGTGGAAAATGTTACCCTAAAGTCGAACTAAAAACTTTTCACCAACTATCGGAGAAGCAGGAAGCTGGGAGGGGAACCAGCCCCCTTTCCACCTGTGGTCCTTCCTGCAGCAGCCAATGAGATCCGCTCTCCTCCCCTGACTTCCACTTCCGATTTGGCCACTCGATGTCCAGCTGTGTCCACGCTTAAGCCAAGTTAGTAAGGCTGGGCTGTGTGGCGGACATGTGCCTGACACTCGTCAATGTCAGCTGGATATGGGATGGCATCGGCATCGGCATTGGATGGAGGTGGCTATGGTTGCCATAACGCCCCCCTCCCCCTTATCCAACTAAGCCAACGATGAAATCAAAAGCAAAAATCAAGACGCAACTGAAACTGATTGCTGGTGGCATGGCTGGAATTTGCTTTAAAGGCATGCCGAGCGGGAAAATAAAGAGCGGAAGAGAGGAAAATCAATGTCCCCTCCGGCGGCGACGGCATTTTGTAGGCGGCATTTAATGGGCGGTGGGCGTGTCAGTTGCCCCACCCCCATTCCCACACACATACACTTAAATTACAACTTCACACACTTGTAACGAATAATAAAAGCGCAGAAAAAAAGGAGGAGAGTGCAAAAGGAAAAATCAAATAGCGATGAGGCCAAGTCCCCCTAACATTTTCCTTTTAGCGGGCGGACCTCGTCATCGCCATCGTCATTATTTCGGGAACAACATTTGGACACAGGAAAAAATTGTATACGTTTCGGTTAATGATATATAATGAAAAGGGGGAAGTGGATAAATATATATTTATTTTTTAATATAACAACTCTTTAGTTCCTTTCTTTATTAACAAAAACAAAAAAGATTTCCTTACTATCTCAGCGTTAAGCTTAAGCTAGAAAAAAAAACAAATAAAACTAACAATGTTGAAAAGTTTAAAAGTAATTTTGTTAACAAAGTAACTATTGCAATGCTAACAAACATAAAAGTTATTATCCTTTGACATCGAAACAATAATTTTTCTCCTTGCAGCATTACGCTTAAGGAAATTTCACTGTTCTCTGTGTGTTTTTTTCTGTTTCCGTTTATTTTTTGTGTTTTCTTTCTTTTTTTTGCTTTTTGTTTCTGGGCAGCGCCTACATTTCTGTGTTAGCAGCGGGACGGCGAAGCTTTACAGTCCCCAGCGGCCTGATTAAATTCTTGTCCACCCCCCGCGCCGCCGGACCGCCAACCAACCGCTGAGCCCGGGAAATACTCTCACTCACCCAGACAGGACACAAAGCTCAGGACTCGCAGCGGCCAGGATAAGGCGCTGCATGCGTTTAGTGAGACGCGCAAATGATGAAATAAATGAAACTAATCCAAGAGAAAGCCCAAATGGCAAAATATTTACATTGCCAACCGCACTTGGCCACAGCACAGTGGTTTAGATTGCAGTGAAAATGGTACAAAAATTTGTTTAAAAATAATTTTAATTTCTCAAAAATTGTGCATCGAAAATAAGAGTAGATGTTTACTGAAAAGTACGAGTATCTAAAAAAATGTTATACATTTTGAATTAATTGAAAAGATGAATCTAGAATTTCTATCTCCTAAAATGAATATTTGAACTATATATTGAAGTTTTAATCATCAATAAGTATAGTATCTAAAGTACTTAGTATCCTTTCGTATTACCAAAAAAAAACCCATTTAATCTCTTCAACCAATGTGCCAAATTTTTCTCAGAAGTCCTTGCTGGTCTTTCCCCATTTTTTTATCCAGCCACCCGACGGTGTGATAAACATCTTTGCCAAGTAAGCAACAATTTTTATGCCCCAAATTGGGTTCCTTTCGGCCCTGTTCTTCTTACTTCTCTCGATGGCCAGGAGCTGGATGGCTAGCGGTTGTGGTGTCGATTTTGGTGGTGGTGGCTGTGGTGTTGCTACTGCCACTGCTACTGCGATGGTTGATTGGATGACGAGGCGGCTGAGCGCGTGCAGGCAAATATTTTTAATGATTTTGTGTGTTGGCCAGGGAAAAGGCTTCATTTCGCTTCGGTTCAGTTTGGTTCGATCTGGGGGCGTTCATTTCTCAGCTATGTGTCTGGGTTTCGTTTTACGCCCCAGTTAGTGCAAAACTAATTATACTTAGGACGTAGGACGACGGTGAAAGATGGCTTACTTACCAAGGTCAATCATTTTTAGCTCGTCCTCGGGTCGTTCCTTTTTAATATTAACAATAATCTTGAAGCTATTTTTATATTTTAAGAAGAGGGAAATAAGAGCAAGGTAAAGAGGTTCCACAAACTGAACGACTTCAAGATGTATTTTAGAAGTCAAAAATAAAATTTGCCTTAAAAATGCCAATAAGAGCTATAAATAATGATCTGCTTATATATTATTATCCTTTTTGTACTAAACTCGTACTTTAAATTACTCTGTTTTCTATGCATAAACTATTAAATGTTATTAAAATTTGTCTTTGTTTAGTCAATTGCAAATGTTTATTTGATGAGTGAGTTCGAAATATAACAAAAATGTTTCAGCTAATTACCTAATTTAGCATCTGCCAACACGCTTCTACTGCCCATTTGATGAGTGAGGAGCTGGCAACTGGATGTTGAACATATTTAATACCTGTACGACAGGGTTTTCACCTGTGAATTCTTATCACGTGCGCTCACATGTGACTGAGCTCTCCAGTCTGTTATCTGTCAATGTTTGTTGCTCTCTTGCTTCTGTTTCATTTGAAGTTTCTGTTTCAGTTGTTATTGCTTTCTTTCTTTTTTTGGTAGCTGCTAATGCAAAATTATGGGCTTCAGCTGAAACACGCTCTTGCGTTTCCGTTTCCGTCGGAGCTGTTGGTAATTCACATGAATGTTTTTGGTCTTGGTCCTTGACTGAAACTGGGCGTAACTCTTTCTGACGCCCCACATTTCAGTCTGAAGACTGAAAGTGGACGGATGGATGGAAGGATGAATGGTTGGAGGGATGGTTGGAAGGATGGTTGGATGGATGGATTTGTTCGCGCACGCATAGTGCTGTTTAAGGATTTTGTTGTCGGATGGGCATTTCGGATAACGCCCCTAGTGCCACGCCCCCTTCACACTAATGGAGTCTGCTTGACGGAGAAGCTAATCAGAATGTGTGTTTCTTGAAATGCTTGACGGGCTTGGAGAGACTTAGAATTATCGAAGCTTCTGACTTCTAATTAAAGATTGCTTAAAGGAATCATTGAAAATATATATTTGACTTGAAAAGAAGTTAAAAGAAGTGTAATTTTCCTCACATTTTTATCATCCTAAATCCCCTTTTGATATTTAGAAAACCCATCCTCCAGCCACAAAGCAAAGTTAAGCTAAATAAGTCCTCGTGCCCTATGGTCAGCAAGAGGAACCGCATTCAGGGACCTTGGAGTTCATGCTCCAAAATAACCAACACTTGGCCAGCCAATTAGGCCAACTCAAGTGGTCAGTTCATGTGGACTCTATGCCAGTTCTCATCCTTTTTATTCTCTTTCTCTCTCTCCTTAACCCTCTTAAGCCGGAGCAACAGCTGCGGCCTACTACTATGAGTTTATACACCCTCAGCCCACTTGTAAACCCTTTTCGCAGGCAATTAAAAAACAGTTTTCTCTTGTTTTTACCCCTTTCATACACACAGTTGCCTAGCAATTGAGCAGAAAGGGTAAGCATAACTTATTAATTAAGAAAATTACGGGAATTCCAATGCAAATGCAG